GTGAGTATACTCCCATGAAAAAAAATATTTTTTTTTAACACACAACACAAAAAAATATTAAAGAAATAAATGTCAAAATGTATAAAAAATATATCATAAATATATTAAAAATCTATAATAAAATATATGAAATATACATGAAAGTCGGCCAAAAGTTAGTTATTAAAAATATATTTACTATACATATTTTTTATATATTTATACATTTATTTCTTTAATATATTTTTTTCATGGGGGTATACGCACGATAAAATAGTGAAAGCATTATTAATTCGATTTTGTCTTTTCAGATTATCAGTATGGATGAATCTGTTTGTATCATCTGCAATAAGGCAGATGATAAGCAAGTGTATGAAATAAAAAAGGTTTTTTGGTTTTTGCATTTTCTCAGAAGATTTACTATAGTAACATATATATTTTTTTCACCATCGGAAAGTAGAGATTTCAAAGAACAGAAAACATACCAACTTTTTGAAAAAAGCTGATATTTTGACGGGTGAATTTTCGATTGAAAATTAGGGTGCTTTTTCGATATTAATTCAAAATAAGGTGAAAAAATAAATATTTTTTATCAAATAAATTACAGCGTATTTGGGACATAAAAAGGTAAGTTTTCACCATAGAGTATATTGCTACATATATAAAGTTTTCACCAAATTTCGTTAAAAAAAAATTTTTTTTATAAAAGATAAAAATAAAAAACCAAAAACTTGGTTTTTTTGAATTTTTCACATAAATTTTGAGGTTATGTGAAAAAAGTGTAAATACAAAAGTTTTAGATCTTTTTATTACCTACAACTTTGCCATATGACTTTTTTCGATAGGACTTTTAGTTTTGCCGGAAATCGAGAAAAACCGTTTTTTACCCTTAAAAACTGACCCCCATCCCCTTCCCGACCTCAGATCGCCCGTAAATTATTTTTCCTTTCATTTTTATAATATTCCCCTCCTATTCTAATGGGTTGCATCCTACTATTATTTTTTTTCACTTTTTATTATTTTTAAAGGCTTCTACCCTGGTCTAAATGGCGACTTACTTTACGAAATTTATACATCAAGATTTGTTGGACCAAAAAACTAATTTTATAATGTGATTTTACACTTATTAGTATCTCAATAGTGGCAAAGAATACTAACGTCGGTCGGTAACGGTTGTCGGCATTTAATTAAAATTTAATTTTTATATACTTCATAAAACTTCTAAAGTTTGCGTGTATCACTCATTTAGCATAAAATACACTGATTTCGTCTTGTAAAAGTGCAGCGGGCGAGGTGGTGCCTATAGGTACTAGCAGGGTTTGACGGTAACGCCGGGAGTGGTGCCTATAGGCACCAGCGGGGTTCAAGTGGTTAATAAAGGTAATGATCAATTCATCGCTCGATCATAAGAACCGAAGGAACAATAAATAGCAGGGATTCGAATTGAAAATCTTATAGGAAATAAACATTTTTATAGATACAGAGGCCGAATCTATAATTTTAAGAACTTTAGAACCGCAACATGGAATAACCATTGGAGGGATTTGATAAAATTTGTGTGGTGATAGATGGTTATCCGGTTCAACATATAGGACACTTTTTATTGCGGGAAAATATCTCATCTCTGAGAAATCTATATTAAACGTTAAAACATACCTAGGGACGAACCCGAACGGAGCGAGGACGAGTTGCTAGTGTATTATGTAAAAAAGAGAAAAATACGTAAAAATAGTTATTCAGATCGTAACGAATCATCATATCAAATATGATCAAAGGTTTTATAAAAAAAACACCACAAAACAAATGAAAACAGCTTTATTTCTGCTGGTTCTTTTCAGAATTCCCATAGTTGCAAATGAAACACTACGTTCGACATTTGAGGTTCCGTCGCTAGTTACATGGTAAGGTATATATGTATTATCACTGCAATTACAATATTTTTGTTCTAATTGTGTACACAATTTTATAAGGGAACCCTCTATACAAAATATTGTTGGACTTAAACGTCGATACATTGATCGTATATTTATTGCTGTGTATAACAATCACAGTACATTAGTTTATATACCAACAACAATGCTGTGCAAAATAAAATTTATTGAGGAAAATATTTTGAATTTCTATATTACATTAAACTTACATCTATATATATAAAAGAAAGTCGTGTTAGTTACTTCGCTTATAACTCAAGAACGGCTGAACCGATTTAGCTGAAAATTGGCAGGGAGGTAGTTTAGAGCCAGGAGAAGGACATAGGATACTTTTTATCCCGTTCGACCGCGTTCCAATTTTTATGATATTTTAATTTTTGGATTTCTCTTAGTCCGGAATAGGTAAGTATTAAAACATATAATTAAAATGTGAGAAAGAAAGATTTTTTCTTTTTATATCTATTTAAAACGTACCTAGCGACGAACCCGAGCGAAGCGAGGGTGAGCCGCTAGTTATCGAAATATAATAAGTATGAAAATTTGTCTAAAAAGCAAAGATCTTAGAACTAGCATTAGCAACTTCACCGTTTTGAGGTAAATTGCAAATATATTATTATTATATGTATGATGATTTTATAAATATCAGTTAAGGTCTTAAATATCTCTCATACTTATAATACTTCGATGGATGGAAAATTCCTTGTCTTTAATGAAGAAAATATTCATGAATGCACTATATTTACATTTTCTATGCTATGTTATAGTGCAATAATTATGTGTAAAGTGAATTCTTTTTTTTTTATTGAAAAAAAAAAACATATTTGGTAACGAATAATTTTCGAAACATTACGCCATTTTATTAGCTAGCTACACACCAAAAATTGACGTGACAATAAAATGATAATTTCTACAAAGACTTCCTTCCATCATGTATATAGATAGATATATCGCTTGAAAGAGATGTCATTTTTACAATAGATGATTTTCAAAATATATAATGAAATTACAATAAAAGTCAATGTTAAAAACTATTAATTAAAAAGTTTGTTCTATTAATTATTTAACGCCATCTTTTGGTGGGTCGAGCACTCAAAATATCTGTAATCAACCTTGACACTACATACGTCAGCCACAAAGAAACAAAGAGAGAGAGAGAGAGAGAGACAAAACAGCGGGAGAATATTAAATCAAAGCAGTATTAGAACTCAACATAAAATTTCAGGAACCATAGATATTAAATTTCATTTAAAAGAATCACAACAACAAAGAATGTTTACATAAACGTGGCAACATTCTGGATTGTAGAATATAAAAAGCCCCTATATTACCCTATTAAATTAGCTATTACCTATAGTTCATACTAAACTATTATCAGATAAATATCGCATTTCAGTAACACGTGCGATGTTCACGTTACTCATTATTGAAATAATTGAAACCCGTCAAATTTATTGACTGTACTCTGCACCTTTTGTTTAATTTTCTTTCATTCGCAAACCAACTATCATTTGAGCTAAAAAGGAAATACATCTTCATATATGAATACTAATCGTTAGGACACAACGTGCTTACCTTTACAGTCTTATTTTATAAAGAGATAAAAGCGTGCCTCTATAACATGAGTTGAATTTTAATACATACCTATTCTACTATTTGTCTATGAGCTTTTGCCTTTATATAATCTATTTGATAGACATTTTCGTACATTTATTATATTTATAGCTTTTAAAAGCGTTACGTTATTTACAAGTATGAAGTGTGAATACTTTTTATATATTTTGATTCATTTTAAGGGGATGTGGACGTTAAAACGATATTTTGGATCTATATATTTAGTGTGTTCCAACCTTAACATTTTCATATGAAATTAATTTCAAAAACCCAATCAAGTCTTCTCTAATGTAAAACAAAACTTCAGTAATAATATTCACGTCAAATAGATTACATAAAACTAAAACGTTTGTTTTTTTAATATTACGAAATACGCCTTAATGTAGAATGCATTTAAAATGGTCGATAAGCGTAAAGCTGTGACTTCGATATTATACGATTAGTTGAGAAAAATAGTTTAATACAGAAAGGCACGAAAATTAAAAAGAAAGCTAAAACTTGAAAATTTGTTAACCATACAAAAATATCAACATATACAGATCGAGATAACCAGAACATTTATTCTGAATTCTGAATATTTTATTATTTAGTGAAACATCAAGTCATATATGTATAGGGGACTAGTGTTGCCAGGTGCGACAATAGACTTGATAGATAAAACTAATAAAAAAATATGTATTTGATTTCGAATTATGAAAAAATGCCGCCTATTCTATATTTATTAAATGTTAATTAATATGCTTTAACCTAGTCTAGTCGAAACGCTTCAAATGTGTTATATAATATTAGCATTTCTAAGGCAGAATACAATGAAACAATATTTTTTTCCTGGCAACACTGTTTCATCCCAATAATTGAATAGCGATATTAACTCTACGATATACAGTCGCAACAAATAGTTGCAATAAATACAATTATCACCATAAACACCGTGCTATGTTAAGAGTCCTGCAGTTTAAAAAAAAAACATTTATTAATTCCGGCCACACATGCAGTAGTTCTTTTAGTTTTTTCTATCCTTGTCTATGCACCAATACAAATATTATTGCACCTTTTAAGGAACCAAGTCTTTTTAGTGCACGACTTTATTTAAGTATTATCGACTGGTTGCGTAACCAGTCTGGCAACTGCAGCGTCTTAACATACCACGGCCATTAAAATTACCAGTTTTCTGTAGACAAAAACCAAAAACTATACGTGAAGCGTCACAAAAATACTACCAATAAAATTAACACGGCAGGTCCGGAGGTGAGACCAAGAAAAACTAAGCATTAGTAGAATTAACCCTCCCAAATTAGTCCCAAACACTCGAGGACCCGGTTCAAAATAGAGCAAATACATAAATTGTTAACAAAATATATGCAAAATTAGTAAACGCTCGCAGTGACGGCGGCGAGCGGCTAAACAGTTCAAAGAACTAAAAAAATCGTTTCGAGATATCGCTGGTGTTGGCATCCCGTGTCGCGCCCGAGTCGGTTAGTGTTGATCCATCTGAAACAATATGAAAAATTATCCTAAACTCTAAATGAATTATAAAAAAAATATTATATTTTACCCCGTAATTTATCATAATCGACTATAATTCGTCAAGTTTAAATGTTATTGAGATGCATATGTCGAATTCAACGTAAACTTTATAGTCGATTTTTGCCCCCGCGGCTTGTGCAAATCGGCAGATTATTGAATTGCTGACTTTTCAGGATGTAATTAGCCCACCATACCTTAAATCTGACGGTTTCAAATATTTCTATCTACCCTAGACGCGCGCCCTTATATATAGAGGACTAATATTATGGTGGAGGTACTCAACAGGGTGCTAGGTATCCCCCCTTATGATAATCTGCCGCGCTTGAGAAACTGCAAAAATCCCCTCTTGACCATAATATTTATACAGATTGATGTTTTTTTCCTCACGCTCGAGTGTTATTGATCGAGTGTATCTGTTTTCTATTCTTTATGTTTTTTTTTGTGGTATAAAAATTAAATTTTTTTTAACACAATTATATATTATGTTTCTTATATTAATGCACTAAAACGAAGTATAGAATCTGAAAATATTCAATTATATATTGATAAAATTATCAAAAATCGTAAAAAAAACAATATAAAGAAAAGGTAGGAAACCTTGATCAATTTTTTTTCAGCGTATCGAATTATATAAAAAATACCATTTCAGGTCTATAAACATATTTACTTAAATTTTGGAGGGTTTACGGGCCAAATAAACTTTGGTTTCCAATATAATGAATACATGAAAAACTTACTCGATCCATAAAAAAATTTCATCTCTATAACTGCAGTTACATAGTACTAAATATAAGCACTAAGCACAACACCTCTTTACATTAATTTCTCTATCATCTCCAAAGCAAACAGAGCTTTGTAGTGCTCAAAATTTTATTTTTATCTTTGAAAATTTGGAGTATTACCTGTTCCTGTCCATTGGTTTCCTGAGATTTCATGACGTCTGGTAGGTCTGGTGGGGTAGAGTAGGGTGTCAGTTCCAATACTTCGAATTCGCCATTATCTTTTCTGAAAAACAAAAGGTATTTGATAAATAAATCGCTCACCTAAAGATCATTAATGGTATTCAAACAAAAATAAGTATAAGCGATATCATTACTGGCAAGTACAGTAGTATTATTTTATACAATTTTCCTTTAATGATTTTACTACATACTATTACAGTTGCGTAGGTAACATTCAATTAACATTGCTGCAAGGGCTCATCACAAACATATATTTAATGCACAAGCAAAAAGTAGGATAAATAAAAAAATGTGTGTGTGTACTTATGTACGCACGTAAGAAGTTATACTTCTTTGGCGTAACAGAACAAAAATAGCTAAAGATTTCATCCCGTATGTCACAAACTTTGTTTGTAAAAGAAATGCAACTAACTTCATCTTGTCGCTTTTTGGCTGTCGGTGTGCGCGCGCATCGTAAAAATTTCATTCTCATAATTTTTCCAAACGTGCCAAAAGAAGTATAACTTCAAAAATAAAGTTGATAATATTGCTACCGTAAACGGTTCACGCAATGTGTGGTATAAATAATTATAAGTAGTTGTTATCTTAAAAGATAAGATTACATTAGTAAAAAAAATATCAAAAATGAAACGGAACTAAAGTTCAGTTATCTTTTATAGATTAAGCATGGATACTGTAAAAAAATACATAGGTGAATCAAATTCATGTCACAACAGTTCCGTAAGATTTTATATGAACCAATTATAAATGACTTTCTTTTTTTATTTTTTCCAACATATTTATTTATTATATTACATTTATATTTTATGCAAACATTGTATACACACCATGTGTTTAAAAAAGCCATTACGTTTTTTCAGACCGTAAACCGTATATGAAAACCGATTTGGTAAACCGCAGTGTAAACTAAAAACTTAAAACGTTTATAGTTTACGGAATTTAAAAACATATTATTGTGAAAATTAAATTAAACAAGTAGGTATGTTTTTTGCCGATACGGAAAACCGTAAACGCAAACCGGGTAGTTTAAATCGTAAGAGTGGAAACCCGCTCTTAAATAAGAAAAAGTTAAAACCCGTCTTTCATTTAAAAGATTTAAATCAAATATAAGTAAACGAGATTAGATTAAGATTTACTACTAGCACTTACTGTCATAGTATCAAGTTCAACATATCCATTTATTATCTTATCATGATCATGTAATTTTTATAATTATTTACGAATACATGCAATACTTTTGCCATGAATGCGTTAAACGGTTAATGTATATATACAAATATTACGTTAATTCCTGAAATTTAAGATTTTCATTGCTTCTGAATACTACACACAACTCGTCAAAAGCTCGATATATGGCAACACTAAATATGATTGGTCTAGACTCTAGGGATCTTCATTGTTTACAATTTCTTTATTCACTTTACTGGTTGTGAGTAAATATCAAAATATGGTAATCAATCATTTGTCATGGCTATAATTAAATATTTTGATTCTGGTCAAACTTTTTTTTAACAACCTACTGGAAGTCAATGACTTAGATAACAGTGATATCAAATTATTCCGCAAACGAGCAGAACTTTGAGTAATTCAATTTACATTTATGTGTTTATTTTTTTTAAAGATACTTCTAATATTAACGGTCTGAACGAATTTAAGGGCTTTATTACGGGAATTTGTTAAATGGGAAGATCAAAAAGTTCTGTTTATTATATAAACAGAAATAAAGACTTAATTTTCACCTGCTATGTTAACAGTTTGAAAAATTTATGAGCAAATAGTAACAGTAATATATAATGTAACAAGCACCTCCAAAAATCGAGGAATATACAAAAAGACGTTTTTTTAAATGTTTGGTTAATTATCATACACCTAGTAATGAGAGTTGTTATAAATTTGAGCATCTTATTTTTTGTTTATAGCCATTGTAAAAATATTTGAATGTATAATTAACCATCAAATATACATTTTTTTATTCTGTTACCAGCGACTAACACTCGCTTCGCTCGGGTGCGTCCCTAGGTATGTTTTTAATAAGTAAAAATAGTTATTGTGGAGATACACTTCTTCTTAGGAGATACACATATGTTATCGCAGACTTATTGTAAAATCGTAAATTGAATTTTGCTTAATTTTTAAGGATTTTCACAATTCGAGCTGAAACCCTAAACTTGTCAGGAATAAAACATACCTTACATTTAAACCTACAAATCCCCTTTTTCAGTGAAAATTCCATTACAATTGATTAAGCCGTTCCAAAGATTATCCTTTTTTTTAATGTTGGGAAATACATTTACGCATACCACTTGTAGACATACAGGTTGTTATGTCAACCCATCAAAAACCAACAAAATCTTGCCCGCCTTAATGCTCAGCACTCAACCATGACGGCCCGACGCGACGGCAGGTCGCCGAAGCAGGCCACAATAGTCATGGGGTTGTTATAACGGCCGGTCCACTCTGCTATCAGAGAAGTACCAGGAGCAATCCATATGGCATATCACCCACCGAAGTGGGCTACCCGGCTGGATTTCCGGACGGGGGTTACAGACCATCAATGGTTACTTGATATATTGTTAGGCGGCCGTTTAGAATTGGGGACTTGGCCCCTAGCGGAGTGGGTGGTATTTCTGGATAAGGGACGTGATAGGGAGTCGAAATGTTAAATAAATTTTTTAATACAACAAAAGAGTCAAAAGTTATTGAGACTTAAAGTTATAACATTTCCATACATTATTTTGACATTACTACCATTTAGACACTTGGAGTCAAAACGTCACTTTCAATTGTCAAAATGATCTCCAGATGATTGTCTTTATTTGTACTTTGCGTGAAATTCGAATTTTCTAGTTTTCTAGTCATTTATGGCACTCGCCGGCCGCTACCGCGGCACGCTCGCTTCGCTCGCTCGGCTCGTGCGTTGTGGCAACTGTTCTAACCTAACCTAACCAAGATATGACGAATAATTAATAAATAATCTTAAATGTTCTAACCTAACCTAACCCAGATATGAGGAATAATAAATAAATAATCTTAAATGTTCTAACCTAACCTAACCCAGATATGAGGAATAATAAATAAATAATCTTAAATGTTCTAACCTAACCTAACCAAGATATGACGAATAATTAATAAATAATCTTAAATGTTCTAACCTAACCTAACCCAGATATGAGGAATAATAAATAAATAATCTTAAATGTTCTAACCTAACCTAACCCAGATATGACGAATAATAAATAAATAATTAAAAATATTCACAGATAAAAAAATGATTTTTTTTACTAAATGTACAATTGTAAAACAATATATTTTACATAAATCAAATAAAAAGTTATAAATGTATTTATAAAGTGAAAATAATATTTTTCTTTTTATTTATTTATTTATTAATATTAATATTTTACCAACAGAAAAAGCAAAAATAATCAAATATAATCTGTTGTCATTTAAGCGGTAATATAAAACAAAGTGTCAGTTTTGCTTTTGTCAAAATGTAAGATCATTTTGTTTGTGTTGTGAAATTATTAAATACAATAAAGCATTAATTGTTGTGAAAATGTGTAATGTACATAAAAAAGGATGCGTACTATTCGTTAAAGGTATGTTTATCTGTTGTAATCACTTATTTAGGTAAAGAAATGTATGGAAATGTGTTAGATATGTTATAACTTTAAGTCTCAATAACTTTTTAGTCGTACGTTTCCTCCAAATATTTTTAATATATTTTGACTCTCTGTCACCTCCCCTATCTAAAAATACCACCCACTCCGAATGGTGGTAAAGAAATATATGAAAATGTATGGAAATGTTGTAACTTTAAGTCTCAATAACTTTTGAATCTTTTGTTGTATTAAAAAATTTATTTAACATTTCGACTCCCTATCACGTCCCTTATCCAGAAATACCACCCACTCCGCTAGGGGCCAAGTCCCCAATTCTGAATTTGTGCCTATTGTTATCTGTATTTATGATGTAGAAAGACTCACACCGTTACTCATATTATTTAAAATGAAACACAGAATATATTACCTTAATGCAAGTCCAATGGGTGCCGGGCACTGAGCCTTAGCTGTGGCAGATGTTAGACCATATTCAGCAAGAGTTTTATCATCTTCCATGAGTTGACTATCTTTGTTGAAAAGCATCTGACTTGGTGGTGGCACCTTTAGTATACCTAAAGTGTATATTACAAAATAGGGTTATATTATTATATTTCTCATTTCTTCACTAAAATAATAATAAAAAATATTTAAGTTTTTGTAAAGAACACCCAACTAGCAAAATTTAGTCTTACAGGTATCCTAAGAGTACATTTTTCTTACTCTTATAGTATACTTACAAACGTTGGTAAGAGTGGAATTGGGCGCACTTAGTAAGAGTGTTTACCCTTACTGTTATTGTATTATGTTCATATGAAGAGTGTTTTCAAACTTATAGTGATCTGCCTAATGCTGTTGTAAAAGTAAATAAGTCTTACAAGTCTTAGATTGGCATGGTGTAAGCGCAAAATGCCATTATGTAGTCTTATTAATGTCGTTCTATACTTCAATATACTTCTTAGTTGCTTCTACGTATCCATGTTGATCTACCAGCGAAGTCGATTTATTCGAAGGAATTTTAATTTAAATAACATTACACCTTCGGGCCATTTCTATAATTTGTTTTAAATAATAATTGTTAAATTAATAAAATGTGAAATAAAAAGAAAATATCGCCATTTTTTTACATTATTACAAATCAGACTTACAGGTTACTTTATGAGAATGTCTACTCTTAATTAAATCCACTGTAAGACTTAATATTCTTATTTAAGGATAGTTAAGTATGTTTTAAGACAATTGCTCTTAAATAAACACTAGCCTAAACAATTGTCGCCGGCCATTTTTCATAATGTTTAGGATTCCTTAGTAAAAAAGAAGAACCAAAAATCACAATGTTTATGTAATAACGTTAATATCACAACATAATATGTTAGCTATATATGTGGGAGATAAAAAGCCAGCTAACTTAGAAGCGACGTTAAGTAGAGTTATTATAATTTGAAAAAAATATTTATTAAATTTAAAATTCATCATATGATAAAACAAAATAATATACTACTAAAAGTCCAAGCAAAATAGGAAGAAAAAACTTTGAGAGTTGTTTCGTAGAGATACTTAACTACATAATCAATAATAATAATATATAATAAAAATACTTAACTACATAATCAATAATAATAATATATAATCTCCCACATATATAGCTAAAAATGAAGTGGATAATTTCATTGATTGCAAAAAAATATATATTTATAAATAAACATTTATGCATATAACAAACCACTCGTAAAATTATAAAGGTGAGGTTGTTAATATACTTAATAAAGAATGCTTATGACGTTTGTGAGTTCAAGTGTTCCTATAAAACATCTTCCTACATGCTGGTCTCTTTAAAACGCACTGCCTAAGACAAATTACACTTACAATTTTTAGGTTATTCAACAGTTGTATATCATGCTTTAGTAACAGCAGTGCTCTTATATTACACTCACCCAAGGCAGTTATAAGAGCAAGCAATTTTATAAATTGCTGTACTGAGTGTAAAAAACAACAAGAGTGATTAGTCTTACAAAGTGTATTTATATAACTTTTGTTCTTATAATATGTACTTTACAAGAAGTTCTTATATATATCTGTAAGCATTCACTATAAGTTTTTATGCTCATATAGTTCAAAACATCTTTATACATGCCTCTATAAGAGGTCCCTTCTTAATCAGGACACTTATAAACCTTTTGTTCTTATATATTACTTTGGCCAAGACTATTTTGCTACTTGGGCAGTATAGGTAGTTAATAAGTATACAGTGGAGGTACCATTATATTAATGGAGACTAAAGTTCAAACCAATGAATAATTATTCAGGAAGTAGATAAGAAAAGTTGTTAATCATATCAAAGACATAATATTATATATAAGGGAATTTGTAGATTGAAACTAGTCTAGTAGTTGAATATTTTATGCAGTCAATAATTTAAACTAAAGTATCTTTAAAATGTGCTTAAAATATTGTTTATCAATATACAATTATTAATATAAGATTATTAATATATTATATTTATATTTTTGTTAAACATAACATCAGTAAATTTATATTTACTCCTAAAAAACGAAAACACAATGATAACAATTGTAAGCTGTTACAATCAAACATTTGGTTATTGACCTCTTTAAATGTTAATTTGAATTTAAGATCTTAGTTTAAAGAACTGTATGAGATCCAAAGTACGTTAAACAACAATATATAACTTTCTTTTATCCTGGCAAAGCTTAAAAACACTAGCATACGTGCAAATGATCCGTCAGACATTGTCTCGAGACTAAAAATAGATTGATATTCGAATATCATGGAAATCGCACTCACCCTCTATCATTTTCTTCAATTCTAAAACAGTCGTGGTATCCTTGGCGTCCGTGAAGATGGTTAATTTTTTTCGCCTAATCATTAGAAAGACATCCTAAAAACAAAAATTAGTTTGAGGTTACGGATTCTAACACTATTTTATATTGATAAAATTAAATGATACATATCAATTTCATAATTTAAAAATGAAATTAAAAATAGTTACCATAATGATATTATTATTTTAAACTATAAACTATTTATTTTATACAAAAAACGCTTCAAGGCGTACGAAGCGCAATTAATATTGAATGACAACTAGCATGAATCCACAGACTCCATAAGATTTCTTTTCTATGGCGATGACTAATCGTATATTTCACAAAATAAATTGCAAAATTACTATCAATTTGCTATAGAATGTATATAATGTAACAAGAACATAAAATAATATTTTGTTTCATTTTTTATTATTCCTATAAAATTAGATGAATACATACATTTTGTTATTTAATTTTCAAAATATTAATGCTATCTTGAACGTGATAAGAAAAATGCCAATTATGATTTATGAGTGAAATGTGAATGTATTATTTACAATATACTCTATGATTATTTATCAAATGTCATTCGGCGTCTTAGTGCTTTTGAATCTTAGATAGATTTGTCTTTTTTTTTCAAATTTAATAATGATTTATCACTTATTAAATCTTAAATGTTCTTGTATCTAGTTGTTTTAAACTATACTTAACTCCACAATAAATTTGGAATTTAGTTTGTTTTGAAAGTATAATCTAAATAAGACAAATATTTTACACAACCCCATCAGAGTTCAAGATATTTTGTATTAAGTTATTTTTTATACTTATTTACATATTATTCTAGGTATAAGTTTTAAAAAATAACATGCCACTTTATAAAACCACTGTTTATATCTTTGTAAAGTCTAGAGATGTGAATGTCTCAATTTAAAGAATTGTTATTAGAATTGTAAAATTCTTGACATTTTCAAAATGAATTCTCAAGTTTGTGTTATATGCTATAATAAGAAAACCGTCAATCAAACAGATAATCGTTTAGTAACCGAAAGTTGTGGACATGTGAAGTGTATGAACTGTCTGCTCCAAGAAAAATCAGGTTGCCTTGCTTGTTTAAGAAATGGCACTGAATCTGACCTAAGTCCTATAGAGCGAGAATATGAGCCTATTAAAACTTTTGAAATGCCAACACAAACAGATGAAGTTTTAATAGAAAACCAAATTGAACTAGAGGATTTGAGTAATAAAAGAAAATCAGATAATTCACATATAAAAGTAGAAATTGGTATGTGTATAAATTATTGGTGACAAAGTTGCTTTAACTATCACTATATAAAAATGTAGTAAAAATATTTTAAAAATAATTTATTTAAAAACAATATTATAAAAATATATGTTTTTTTTTTAAATATTTTAGTAGATGGTAAGAAAAGTTACTACTGCACTATTTGTAAGAAAAAATTTCAAGCAAAGAGCCAGGTGTGTTATCATTCATATTGTAATGGACAGAAAAAACCTTATCTCTGTCAACCATGTAAACAAGTAAGTATATTTTACCATTAAACGGTATAGCTTTCTTTAATAGTCAATATTAATACATAATGATAATTATAAATTCCCATAGTATTAAAATGTTTTAAAAACTCAACTTGAAATATTTTTAATTTTAATAATTTTCCTAACCCATGCTTGCTTGCAGTAAAATATTCATTTTATTTAATATTTCTACATTTTTTTTTATTTAACTTAAACCAAAATAAAAGTGTTTGAGATTTTCAATTTTGGCTGAAGAGTACTTTTTAATAATAGATAGGTAGATAGTTTAAAATTAATCTGCATTAACAAAGTTTTTTTTTCTAGAGTTTTGCTTCACTTTCTCACTATAAGTATCACATGAGAATTCACAGTCAGGAAAAACCTTTTGTCTGTGATGCTTGTGGGGTTGCTTTTTATCAGATGTCAAAGCTGAAGCGACATAAACTTAAACATACCAGTGAGTGAGATTGTAATATTCTTTCTACATATATTTAAAAACAGAAATTTTAGCTTGTTTTTTTTTCTACTTTATAGCAATACTATCTATATTTTTTACCTGCTTATAATATGTATTATAAGAATATTTATTTATAAATAAAAACCAAATTATCATTACCTATTAAATATTTTTTCAGAAGAGAAAAACTTTCCCTGCAATATTTGTAATAAAGCATTTAATAACCTATCATCTCTTAGAAAACATACTTTAATGCACACTGAGGAACGGCCTTATACATGTCCTATATGTAACAGGCGGTTCCGAGATGGCTCAAATTATAAGAAACATGTTGATAAACACAGTAAGTACTACCAAATATAATACATACTAACAAATTATGTATTAAATAGAATTTTGTGTTTATTAAAATAATTTTAGCAGTATTACAATAATTATTATTTTCTTTTTAAACTTTTAAAATTGATGAAATAACTAATCAATGCAAGTGGTAAATTATTATCAAATAAAAATAATATTTAAAAAACCCCCGACTATCTTGGACCGATTTTTATGAAACATAGCTAAGAAAACTGCCAACTAATTCACCTTTTTAACAAAAAACAAAATTAAAATCGGTTCATCCGTTCGGGAGCTACGATGCCACAGATAGACACACACACACAGACACGTCAAACTTATAACACCCCTTTGTTTTTGCGTCTGAGGTTAAAATAAAAATCTTTAACAGGAAACGTCGGCAACAAAAAACAAAATAAATCCACAAAAAAATCAGAAAAGATAGTTTTATTTAAAATGTTGTTATTTAATATTTACATAAAAATAATAAAATAATTAAAAAAACATAAACTAAAAGCTTATTATGATTTTCACAAAAAGAGAAATAGATAATGTATAATGAGACGCTGCTGAGCTTGTTATTATTAATATTTTTCATTACTTTTAACAGAAAAGCTTTGTAATTTATGTGGCGAAAGGCTACCTGAAGGAGAAGGGCTGCAACATAAATGTGGGTCAGGTGGTGGTCCGAAGACACATGCCTGTCCACGATGTAGAAAGACATTTCACTCACGAAAAGACATGAGACGACATGCTGCTATACATTCTGGTAAAGAATAATACTTAATAATTTAATTATATATATAATAATGATAATACTTGTCTCTACTTAGCTTGTCGCTACTTTGAAACAGATTAAAGATGCTGCTATCAATAAAAATGATTTTCATGGGAGTTTTAATTTTTATTTCAGATTCGAAGCCCTATCGCTGTAAAGTATGCCCTGAAGAACGACGTTTTAGACGTAAAGACAATCTTGAGCGGCACATTCGTAACGCTCATCCAGACTGCAACCCCTCTACAGCTCTCGAATGTGACATCGACGCGTTAGAGAGCCTCACCCACCATACATTGTCAGAACCGGACCAAAGTTACGAACAGACTGAGAAAATCAGACTTGAAATCTTGAACCCACTACCCCCTCTACCTCAAGATGTCATACAAAAGCACATAGATCTCACAGTGACCAATCCAAAGGAAGTGACAAGTGTTACGAACAGTGTAGTGGACAAAAAGTCAATTATGGAAGCGAATAATGCTCGCGAAAGTGTTATTGTTGAAAAAAAGGTTATGGATAGTGAAAAGAAAACACCAAGCCCCGAGAATGAGTATGTGCATAAAATTCGTAAAGCAATAATACCTTTGCCTCCCATTGATCAAGAAAAGTTTAGAAGTGTACAAAGGGGTATACTACCTGAAAGTGATTCTTCAGCACCTATAAAAAATATGGAAATATATAAGAAGATTTTGTATGAGAAAATAGAGAAAGATACAACTGAGGTGATACAAAACCCTAAAATGCATTGGAGGAGGAAGATGGAGCAAGATATCAATTAGTAGGTAAGGAAAAAAAATCATTTTGTAAAATCAACAAGTATCTAATGACCTTTGAAACATCTAAAACCTTAGTCTTTCCTGTGATTAAAAATTTTAGTTTAAACAGCTTTCTTAATAATATATTAAAAAGTAATAAAGATTCTATGGAAAGTGAAACTTCATTGGTTATTTATATTTCAAATCTGTAAGAAAAATAAATTAATAATATAACACTCAAAGAAAAATATGATTCAAACGAATATCACACAATGAGGAGAGAATAATATTTTATCTGTTTCTATCAAGCTGGATTTTTACATCTATCGCGTATACCCTAAGGGATGAACCCGAGCGAAGTATGGGTGAGCCACTCGTTATAAATATGCAGGTATATTTGAAAACAAATTAGTAAAAATAGTAATCTTTGAAGATAGCAATGAAAAGAATATCATATATATCATTTTTCAGACGATAACAACGGTTACTATGGCAACCTACTGCAAGTGGTTACTATGGTAACCATGACGGTTTTTCGTGACGCGCAAAGAAGTTTCACTTCAATAATATAATAAAAGGTACTTACTGTTTTTTTTTTCAGATATGAAATGTAAAGGCTGATATTGGATGGCAAAGCAATCCGGAGTGGTAAAATTTTATAAACATATTACTTAATTTTCTGTTTAACTATATTACATATCTCATATTGAATAATATCTTTTGTCGATTGAAATTCAAAAGCAAAAGAAACGATTTTAAACAGGGATTATAAGATTTTAGATTTAATAATGTACAGTTCTTATATTATAAAAGTGGCACTCTCTAACAAATCTCGGCAAATATCCCCAAATCAGTGACAACTCAAATACCAAGTATGATGGTTTGGTAAAAAATAATAATTTGACTATATATCAAGAAGTGTATTTCAGAATGGTACAGTTATAATATGAACACTGAACATTACTTAGTAGCTTCAATGGATTCTAAATTCCTAAATTTTGGTCATTTTTCTAAAGCTGGGCTAATTATAGTTATATAATACAAAATATGTACTTTAAAATGTTAATTAAATGGTAAGGTTGAATGATATGTAGATCTTGTACAATAACTTACTAACTACTAACGGTATGCTTCACCAAAGAGGCGAAGAATAAAGTGTTTAAGAATTTTTTTACTAAGTTGTCAAAAAAGTTATGCATGGTGGATGTGAAATGAAACGAAATGTCAGACTTTTTGGATTTTTGTAATTTGTACTTACAAATGAAATGTAATAAATATGTTACAGTCAAAATTCTTAACCGGTTAAAACTACTTTTGATTGCAAAATAGATAGTGAAGAGTGAATTTGTTGTTCAGGTTTAAAATTTTATAATATATATTATATAATTTCAAAGTTATATAATGCACCAAATTATGTAAATTATATCTGACTTATACAGTATACTATAATTTTATTAGAGTAGAATGGTTGTTAAAAATGTAACATACCATATTACACTAACAAAATTTGAATTATGACTATTTTTTACAACCAATAACAGTTATGACCGGTTAAAAGTTTAGACTACAACATGTACATGTAATTAATATGGTAACTGGGAGATACAAACATATATAATTGTAATTTTGTTTACAGATGTATTAAAATTATTATAGTGTGTATTCATTTTATGGACTTTCGTAATAAAACCAGATGATCTGGTTTTAAACATTATTAGTGTATGTATTATGTAACATTTTAGGTATTTTGACATAACTATGACTTCTAAAGAATGGTTTAACAATTAAATTTGTTTAAATACTAATATGGTAGTGTGGTAACAAAGTGGTACTAGTGCTAAGCATTTGACTTAATTTTAATAATGCTATATTCATTTTATTTCAAAAAATATTACATGCTGCCATCTTCATATCTTTAGAAGTAAGGTACAAGGAACAAAATTTATTATGTTATTATATATTTAAAATAAAATTATTTTGTTGCCATGACCATATGTAAAGGTGTATAGGCGAAATATGAGGGGTGATTGTGAATTGTGCCTCTAAGTCAATGAAATGAGAGTAAAAGATTGAGTTCTATTAGTTGAGTGCATCGGTAAGTTTATTATGGTAGCTATTAAGTGCGTCCAAGACGTTTAGTAATATGTTAAAACGACATTATTTGATAATATTATTGAATTATTCAGAAATATTAGTAAAAATACATTTTATTTGTATTTTTTATATTGTTACAAATAATTTTTTATCCGGCTCGAAGGACCGATATACGATTCCACTGAGATATGCAAAAAAATGTAACTATTTGACTGAATTCTCGATAATTATTGTCAGGAAATGTAGTATTTTTATAGTATTTCTGAATATTTCATTTCTTTAACATAGTTTGGCTGGTTCAACTATGTGGATTTGGAAGACTTTGTTGTAATTAGCTATATGCATATATATTCGATTTAAATAATTGTGTATACTTATACCACAGAAAGAGCTTTGAAGATGCATGACGCAATATTTCACTAATAATCGTCCAAATATAATTTTAGTATCGTTTCTTTTTGTAAAATGTAAATAATAATTAATTATTCTAACATCACATATAAAGTACTGAGATAGAATCCCGCATTAGATCTATACATCATATGAAGTTACGAGAAATTTCCTATTATAGACAAATAAGCATATTTTAATGTGGATTAAAATTTGCGAAGCGTATATTATATATGGTTATTATAATTTTGTATGTACAATTATGTATGTGTAATGTAATCTGCAAAATCATTTATTAAACTTTACCAATTCTATGTTACCATATTAGAAAGTATATTGGCAAAGGTTGTGTTTGGAAAAGAATATTTTATTACCAGAAGAAAAAAATAATAATAATAAAATTCAATTGTGATTTTTGATTTAATCGAGCTTTGGGCTGCCAAAAATTGTGATAAAAAAAGTAAAAAAAAATACTTTGATGGATTTGTTCAAATTAGTGTATAGCGATGACTGATCTTGATCTCTATCACGCATTGATCTCAACAATCCTATATGAATAAGACTTTAAAAATATTTTTAAAAGATGGAAATCCTTTTTTGGTTTTGTGAATTAATGTTGCCATTACACGCTTTCATTTTATTTTTAAGTTTTACAAAATATTATATTTAAGTCAATCGGATGATTTTTTTAATTTTAATTAAATAATGTCATACCGTCGGCATAATTCGTTAACCTGCTAAATGTATTTCTGCATAGTTTACAGGACGAAGAAAAAACTGAAAGGTTGTACGGTTGCTTGATGTCTAAACTACCGGAAACTAGCGGCGCGTAACATTATTTCATTTAAAAAAATCTAAATTCTGAAAATACCGTTGGTTCCTGCAGCTTTCCTTTTCATTTTTGTAATCATTTTGTATTGATATCTTCTATATTCCTTAAACATAATGTAGGCAATCGTCTGAACTTTTTGACCGCCATAAAAAATAAAATTGCTCAAAAACGGATTTAGCAGGTTAACGAATCAGGACGACGATATAGAAAATACATTCAACATATACATTAATATACATATTATATTTTTTACTAAGAGATTTATGTTTCGTGTTTTAAGTTATGGTGCACTTGCGGTACATTCAAATTACAATGTGTTGATATACCGAGAGTATTGATCAGCGAATATTTTGAAAAATCACTTTCGACAATGCAATAGCCAATTTTTAGGTCTATTTTGTGTGTCGAAGAGCAGTGGCGTAGCTCCTCGTAGCGTGAGTGACGCTCGGAATGGTAATAGGCCTTAAAAACTTTCTTTTTATCGAGACTAAATTGTATGCTAAAGACATCGAATCACTTTGTGTAATCGGTTCACGATTCAAATCACGCCCTAACAGATCATCTCAGTACTTATTTGTCCAAACGAACAATTTACCGAAAGAGTTTTTAATACAGAATTATTGACTTTTAAATGTCCATTTTTTGGTATAAAATACACATTTTACATTAAAAAAGATGTATTTTATCTACACATGTGTATAAATTTTAGAAATAAAGCTAAGTTTTTAACATAGAGGAACAAAATTCTACTGTAAATTAAAGTACCTACTATTGTAAGTATTGGTCGTTTGAACAAATAAGCACTAAGGCGACAATATATCACTAGCGCAAGTTTTTCATGGGTGTCACTTCTAAAAAATGCCACCCAAAAAATGCAAACAGAGTATCCCGTGACACCTGTAGCTACGCCACTGGCGCGATTAATGCGATGAAATACATATTCAACCACTTTAAACTCAAGATGTTTGCGTTGGTCACTATATTATAAAGTTTTATAATAAATAATTCGTAATAGAAACCAGTGTAGAAGGTTTTCTAGTTCCTGGACTTCGATGTTAAGTTCATATATCCTAATAAGTCAAAAAATATTCTGCTACTATTGTCCTCATCAACCATATTTTAAACGGTTTTTTAAATATATCAGTTACTTGTAAACAAACTGTACTGCAATACTTTGATACAAATAAAATCATTTTTAAATATAAATGTTCTTTGGATTTACCATTTTTTTAATGAGAGTTTTGAATACTTTGTCAGTACGGGACAAATATTTTTGACTTGAATTTTGTCTCGTTGGTTGAATCGAATGGTCGGGAAAAGTATAATCATTTATGGGGTTTTATTTTTAGGTTTTATGTTGATAAATACTCAGTAACTACCCGGATCCCAGATCCTCGGAGAGTACTAAAAGGCGTTGGTCCTGTGCTTAATCTCTCAAACTCACCGGCGTTTGAAAATCGAAGGAATATATAGATAAAGGAGGCAGAGTTTGTTTAAACGCGCTAATCTCAGGAACTACTAATCAGATTTGATAAATTCTTTTCGCATTAGATAGCCCGTTTATTGAGAAAGGCTATAGGCTATATATCATATAATGTATATATTCTATCTATTCCATACTAACAGTTAAAACGTACCTAAGGACGAACCCGGGCGAAGCGACGGTGAGTCGCTAGTGATTAGTGTAAAATAATATAGTAGATAGGAAATTATGAAACCAAATCTTAGTTACGCGTTTAACGTCATTTCTGTAATATTTTATTACAATAATGCATTACCTATTCGTGCCAAACAATTGGGAGTTCGCCAATTTTACTAACCGTATCTGCATACCTTGTATAACTTACAGAGGTGTATTTTGAAAAGGTAAAAATAAAGAAATATAAATTATTTACTGAAAAACTTTAGCAATGTTAACAAAAAAGTAAAAATATGGCTCAAAAAATTTAACGAGACGTGCTTTGTTTTTTTTTATTTTTTCTTGAATTTTTTACCAACTTCAAAATTTAAGAAGTTAACTCGATTTGGGTGTTGAGCGTAGTAACCTATGTTTCTTTTTAATGTTAGGTATGCGCTATTTTTGCCTGTTAAGAACTCATTTTCATAATTATTTTTTAACGAATTAAACGAGTAGGTTATATTTTAAATGACTTCTAAATTGATTTTAGGTTTGGGTTTGTACCTACTTTTTAATTAAAAAGTTACTTTATTGACTTTAATTACAATAATAATAGCTAAACCTACTATCTACACTCGTTATTTGAAATGTAGAAGCGTTAATCAATAGTTTTTTTTTTAACTTTTTATTCTCCTAAGTACAGCTCTGCTCCATACGTAAAAAATCAATCACTGTAGAACTTACGTAAAGGAGGCGTCTTAGTTCAGTGTCAATGATATTTGTATTTTTAGTTTATTATAGCTCGTAGTGTAGTTTTCACTTCCTTCTACACATCATTGTCTTGCCAGCCCTTATCTTATTACACCATCACCAGCCAAATAAATTTATTAAAGTAGAAATGTTTAAAGATATAAAACTACTTTAATAACTACAATAGGAATTAAAAAAAATGAATTTTGATATAGTAAATCAAATTACAAATTTATATAAACAAAAAGATTGGAAATCTATAATAAACACCTACAGAGATCATCCAGACAGGAATAAACTTTTATGGGTGTTCCCAACAGAAGAGAACTTCGAGTTTATTGCAAATTGTATGGTGGAATTGAAATGTGATAACATACTTAGCATTGGTTGTGGTAGTGGCTTACTTGAGTGGATAATCACTGAAGCTACAGGTAAGTAGAATTAAATTTAACTTGGTTTTTTTCCACATATTCCGCACAAAAGTTTAATTTTATGTGGAAATCTTGTTTGTACGTCGATAAAATAATCGCGTTATCAAGAAGAATGAAACGACGTATGATTCATCAAAATCGGTTAAGCCGTTTAGTAAATACGATGGACATAGGGTCGGATATACATACATACAGGTCAAATATATAACCCTCTTTTGGGCTTCGCCATAGTCGGGTAAAAAACAGCCTATATGTTATTTTCATCCTAAATTTCATTCAAATCACATCTAGCCGTCGCTGCGTGAAAATAGGAGCAAACTTGAAACTACATACATTGAACAACAGGACATTATAGTTAACTAATTATAATAATTATGTTACCAATAAAATAGTATTGACGACACGTTTGGCTCAGTTAGTAGTGACCTTACTTGTTGTGCTAGCGGTCGCGGGTTCTAGTCCCGCTGGAGGCATTCATTTGTGTGATGAGCACGAATGTTTGTACTCCAGTCATGGGTGTTTATATTTTTGATATATATGTATTTAAAGTTATATATGTGTAGTGTATCAACTGTCTGGTATCTCTAACACAAGCCTCGTAAGTCGTAGCCATGGAACTAGATGGTGCTGTTTGTTAATGTTCCAAACTTTCACCATATTTATTTATCGTGTATGTAAACCTCTAAATGTTTTCAGGTTATACTGTGTCCGGTGTAGAAGTAGATGGCGCTTGGTGGCACTGTAAATACGCCCCGCCCACTTTTATACCTCTCCTACTCACTAAGCCTGAGTTAGACAAGGACGTTGTCACATTACTACGAAATAGTAATCAAACTGCTTTACTCTTTTGTTATTTTAATAATGGCCCAGCATTTACAAAATATTTGGAAACGTATACTGGTAAAGTGCTCGTTATTATAGGGCCAGGGGATGGGAAGGACGTTTTCACTGATCCCAAGCCATTTGGAGATGTGCCACAAGAATGGACACTTCATGCTGTTCAAGAAGTTGGAAATAGTCAAGACTTTATAGTAGTATACTGTAAAAGATCTAGTTGATGATTAAATTAAAATATTTTCATTTAGCCAAGTCTATAATATTGATTTCTAGCCTATACGATATATCCCTTCGTTATCAAGAATTTTATTAATATTTGTGCTGAGAGGTAGAAACACTGTATAAATCATTCAAAGAAAATGGATAAAATTCTAAGACATGACATGAAGGACTAAAACGGAAACGCCAAATTGTAACAAATATGTATAATATAATAAACAGTCTTTTAATTATTATTAGAGTATACTTAGTTCATTATAATATGATAAAACATTAATTCTTCATTAATTCTATATTTTTAACATTTATTTTGTTAGTCGAAGGTCGAACTGAGGTGTTCATCATGGGGTCTTTTTTGCCCTGGATAAAGTTTTGGCAGTCATTAGTCGTTTCTACGGATACAACGTCTACATTATCTTTTTGACTTATTATAGGGACTTCTGCCACCATTCTGTTCATTTCATTGACAGGTTCGGAAGGCATATTGTTATTTGGAACGTCGTTGTCTAAGAAGTGGAAGTCGTTGTGCATCAAATAGAGAGATTCGAGGGAAAAGTTCATATCAAAACGAGGTAATAGTTTGTTATCGTCAGAATTATCATCTATTTCTATGACGTCATTTTGCTGGTTGACTTCCGGTAAAACAACTGTGGATAAATCTAAGTGAGCGGGATATTGCTCTGGAATTATATTATCAATCATATACTGATCGATTATGGGAGGGTTTGTCGTTGAATTGTTTAAAGTCATATTGTAAAACGCGTCAGATTTCACTTCGTTTTTTATTTCATTCATATTTTTATGAATATCCTCTAGAGGAGGCGACGCTTTGTATTCTCTACTAATAGCTTGGTTATTCAATAAGTTTGCATTACACATTCTTTCTAAGCTCGGCGATTGTGTATTTTGTTTTATAGTTGCTTCTAGTTTGATATAACTGGGATCGTTCGCTTGTATTTTTTGTGGGGGCTCCAGCATTGTCATGGAGTTTACGTTCATTTGTTGATTGAAAGAGAATATTTGAGGACTGTTAGTCATTTCGTTATCTACAGGCGTGGTCGCCGACTCCCCTAACATATTGTCTTGCGGATATTTCATGATGTTGCTGGGAGACTCGCTCATAGCAGGTTCCGGCTGCAGCTGCATGAACTGAGTTGTTATTAAATTATTAAATGTCACAGGACCACTGAGACCATATCTCTCGTTATCTTCTAACCGTTTAAACGCCATTTTTTGCTGAGAATGGAACATGTTGACTTGGTCCGGACCTTTTAATATTAGATTACTTTTGACGGATATCTTTGGCTTTTTTCTCGGCACCCCTTCCGGCTCGTTAGAAATATTGATTGGGGAATGGCTTGAAGATGGAATGGGTAGTATTTGCATTTGATTTATAATAGGACCGGTCATTTTGGTCGTGGGCACGGAAATCTTATCAACTGGTTTCAGGGTTATATTGTTGCGCACTGATATACGAGAAGGGGGTAATCGGATAGGGAAGTTGCTCATGATGTTACTGCTTATACTGTTACTTATCGGCGAGTGATTAGACGCTAAGGAATTTACGCTATTGTTTTGTAAAAGATTTTGATCTATCGATACGGTGGGATTGAGGAAATGTAGGTTTGTTTGAGATGTGTCGTACGGCATTTGCAAAGGATGTTGGGAGGGGTATTGGTGCCTATCTTGAATGTTGAAGGTTTCGGAAATAAGGCAGTCGGAATTATTGTCGTCTTTACTCAAATCCGTTACAACTTCCGTATCAAAGCTCGATTGTTGAACGTCGTTAGATGAAGTTGTGCAATAATTTTTTGGATATTCTTGTGGCATAGTTTCAGGTAAGCTATCACAGTCATATACTTCTATAGGAATAGTGTTGACCGTTTTGGGGTTGACATCGTTGTTTTGTTCATTTGTTACATTTTGGATTTCCTTTGATTTTTCTGATTCGCTTGGTATCGTCCAACTAGGCTTGTTCGTTTTTGGTCCCTTATTCATTTCTATGAGCAATTTTATACCCTCCTTATCTCTATGACTTGAGAGATGAGTGACATATTTTTCTTTATTGACAGATTTAAATGGGCAATAGGGGCAGCAGTGAACGTCATCAGACTTAAGATTTGGATGTTTTGAGATCATGTGGAAAGTAAATACGGTGGATTGTATTGCAGTGTAAGGACAGTATTTACATTTGTATACACCTTCTTTGGAATGTTGCTTTTTGTGTCTGCGGAGTGCGTTATGGTCTCCTGAGCAGTAGCTGCATTGATCACAGGCATATGGTTTGTCTCCTGTAATTTAAATTTTGTATTAATGCCTTTGTAGGCGGTGGTAGCCCAGTGGTAACGCGCTCGCTTGGGAAACCGAGTGAAGCGGGTTCAAATCCCGGGTCTCGCACCTCTGATATTTTCATGTGCGAATCATTTCTATCATGATTACCACTTGCCTTACGGTGAAGGAAAACATCGTGAGGAAACCTGCATGTCTGAGAGAACCTAACAAGTTTTCGAAAGACATGTGAAGTCCGCCAATCCGCACTTGGCCAGCGTGGTGGACTATGGCCTGATTCCGTCTTCGTACTGAAGGGAGGCCCGTGCCCAGCAGTGGGACGTTAAAAAGGGCTGAATACATACATTAAAGCCTTTAATAATGGCAATATCAAAAATTTACTTTCTAGATACTAATTATAACAAAATGTATTTAAAAATTTAAGTGTGGTGACTTGTGATGTTAGTAAGTTTTGAAGGACTCGAATTTTTATAGTTGCTATGGCGGTTAACTTTTAAGGTATTAAATGATGATTTGTTTGAACTAAATTTAATAAATAGGTAATCTAACTAGGTTGTATTTATTATTATCAATATTTTACTCCAAAAATATTGATTTATAATCGTACCTGTGTGTGACCTCAAATGAAGTTTAAGTTGCTCTTTCCTCGCTGCACTATAATCACAATTATAACATTTGTATGGCTTCAATTTTTCGTGTATTGTTGCTATATGTTTTCGCACTTGTCTTTCATTAGCAAAGCCTCGGTGACAGATGTGACATTGTACTGAATCTTTTTTGGCTTTGTGTATCATTTTGTGCTTAGATAACTGATTAGCATTCTTAAATTTCTTTTGACACACTGAACCTAATATGAATAGAAATTAATATAATATTACAATATGTATTACATGAAATTAAAAAGTTTACATTATTTTAAACAAGCACACTCACATTCATTTCCTGGCAAACTTTTACATTATAATATATACTGTAATTTGGTAAAGATGTTAATAATTAATGGGTAAAATAGTTAAATAGGTAGCCTGAGTGTTATTTAAATTAGTCAAAAGAAAAGAAAAATAAGTATTTAATTATTAATGACTGAAATTTGTATTTACTACCATTAAAAATGGCTCTGAACTTACATCCATAACTTCTAATAACATCATGACATTTCATATGTATGTTTAATAATCTATGCCTTGTAAATGTTTTGTAGCCACAAACTTCACAAGTTGGCAGCTCAAGGTCAACACTATGTAATTTCCAAAGATGAGTGTGAAGCTGGTCTGATGATGAAAACCACTTTGCACATTCAGGGCATTGAAATGTGCCGTTTTGATGACATTTTCTATGATAGGATAAATTATTTGCATCTTTAAGCCGAATACGGCAGTTCATTATTGAACACAGTTCTCCTTTTTCCTCAGGATTGGAGTCCAGTTTTGATTTTTGGGTGCCTAATATTTTTCGCTTTTGTTTTGTTTGGGAATTAATATTGGAAGAATCACTTTCTTTTGCCTGTGGTGATAAGTTAGTGTCTATTACAGATGGAATTCGAGTTATTGATGATATCAAATCTGGGGGGACACTAGACATTTGAATTAAATTACAAGAATTCATAGAAGCTCCTGCATTAGATACATTTACATATTGAGTTGAAACATCATTTGTATATACAATATTTATACTTGCTTCTTGAATAACTTCTTTAGGATCCACTTTTTCAAAATTTGGTGTACTCATTTTATGCAATTCATCAACAGATATAAAAGCTACACCTTTGGGCAATTGTTCATTATTAGCATTAACTATGTCTGGTACTATTTCAATTACTTGTGGGATTTTGACTTCAGCTATTTCTTGATGTTGCTGGACAGAGGTATCATTTAGATTAATTTCTTTTTTTAATTTAGCATCTTTAAGAGCAATTTGAACCAAACTTTTGACCATCTTTTTAACATCCTTTATCCCCATTTTGTGATGATTACGTAGATGAGTCCTAAGAGTTTCTTCAGCATCAAATATACTTGTACAGCCCGGACAAGGTATCTGAATGTTATCAGCAAGGCCATTGCGTTTTGCGAGATCTGGATGTACAGTAAACAAGTGAAATTTAATATCATCTTCTGCAAAGGCCATATATGGACATGCTTCACATTTAAAAAATGCTGTAGAGCCTACTGATTTCTCCTCGTAAGACATTATTTTTTGTTTTGATAAAGGCGGCTTGACTTCAACGTTTTCTAATATATTTTGCGACATTACCCTATTAACATTCATCAGAAAAGATTGAGAAGACATCTTTTTGCTTTTTTATTAATGTTTCCTTGACTCTTAGAGAATATTTTGTTGAAAGAAACACTATTTAAGTAGTAATTAGTAAATATTGATGTTAATTGTCAACTGTCAGTTTTTTTAACTGTCAATAAATAATTGTCAAGGTCATTTAAGACTAAAATAATTTATTACCTGTCTAGTGTTTATATTATATTGTTTAATAAAAAAAACTTAAGAAGTACATAACAAAACAACAGAAATATTAAGTTATAAAACACATAATTATAATGATTAAATTTTGGCTTTTTGGCTTTTATCGCTATTCGAAATCGAATCGGAAAGCTTCAAAAGGCCAAAGTTTTTATATGTAGCAATATACTCTATGGGCCAAAGCCAGTTGAGCACAGATTGTCAATATCTGATCCTGACATATCAGTAGTAGTGACGTTTACGAAATTTACTTGGTTTGTGGTTATTGGTCGGCTTTACTAAACTTTTTTATTTTATAATTGTATCAAATAATCTAATAAAACATGGGTGTAAGTATCTTATTATTAGTATTTTGTTTTTAATATTTTAATTATCTTAAGTATTTAAAGGAGAATTATATTTTTAGCTGGAAATTGAAACCATGGTGCGATACGCGTCGCCGATTAACCCGGCGGTGTTCCCACATCTCACTATGCTATTATTGGGCATCGGAATATTCTTTACTGCTTGGTTCTTTGTATATGAAGTGACCAGTACCAAGATGTCCAGGGACCTTTTTAAGGAACTTCTGCTTTCATTGGTAGCCGCCTTGTTCTCAGGGTTTGGAATTCTGTTTTTATTGTTATGGGTTGGCATTTATGTATAGCATAGGCTCTAAATATTATGAGAACCATTCCTGTGTAATGTGTCTAAATGATAATGTTTTTTTAAGTTGTAAGTATAAAAAATTACATAATTATTAAAAAAGATTTTTTTTTATTTTCATACAATAAAACTAAGAAATCCATACTAAAATTCATGTAATTTGAAAATAATTTCATTTTCGTATGTGAAAAAATAATACTTTAATAGTTTACTATCCTAAGTATTATTATGTAAAATAAAAACTTGACTGAAGTGTCATGCAAACATTTTCTACATTTTATAATAAAATATTTTGATCATTAAAATAAATAAATATATTATAAAAATAAAAAACCTGACTGCATAAAAGCTAACTAAAATGATGAAAACAAGTTCATAATGGAATATAGTATTATGCAGTCAGAGACCTACACATTTCGTCCTTGCCGCAAGATGTACATACTCAGATGTATGTAATAATGTAATTTACAGCTGTACATACTAGCCACTATACCACCAAGGAAGTTACAAGGCTATACAAAGCCTACTTTTAAGTCAAAAGCTTAAATAATTATTATCCTTATTTTTATTTAGTCTTAGAGTTAGACTTAGAGTTTCCCTCGACTTACCATCAGCTGATTTTTTTATTAATTACAGCAGTGTATAACTCGCGTCATCTAAAAAGAACGCTGGCTGTCAAGCTGCGCAGAAGCGATTTATCGGTCAAATTGGTGGTAAGAAGCGGGACGCGGGTCGGCTCGGGGTAGCGGGGCACGCGCCGCATGCTTGCCGGCGCGCTATTGGTTCGTCAGTTCGAAATACCATCGCGCACACAAAAGTTTTTAAATACGAAATGGTTTTACTCGTATAAATAGAAAAGAAAAAAATGTTTTTGACGTATATTGTTTTACAAAGAGAGAGTCTAATAATGCATTTAATAATAAAAAAATGTATTAAACGTATTAATTTAATTTTTTGTAAGTAGATTAAACATTCTGCACTGAATGAAACATATTTTAATAATGAATAGAATTCTATTTAATGATATTCTATCTAATATATTTTTCAATGTCCCTACCAATAACTAATATATGAAGCCGCGAGCGAAATGCTATGAAAAATAAAATAATAGGCTTAGTACTTTTGTGCGCGAGTATACCTATGCGCAAACATACCCTCTCCACTTTCTTCCAGCGTTCTTTTTAGATGACGCGAGTTATATTGAAAATTAGTTAACAGATTTTCAACGAAATAAATATTTCAAAACTAATAAGTATATAATCAAATTATGTTAAAAATAAATTTTGAACTTAAATTTTGGCGGACGGAGTACACGGCAACTGTGCCGTAAGCTATAAAATACGCTTGTATTTAAGCAGTGACCAACGTCTCCGGCTCTTATTGTAAAGTCATTTGGAAGGAACACTTCAGGTTTCAAATGGCTTAATATTTCTCTGACTATATCTGCAGGGAGGTCTAAGAACTTTATTTTTTATCTAGGCTCTAGCTTTCGACACGTGTAGAGGGTGAGTTCTTGGCAGAGTTGATCTGTACGAAGGTTATATCTCTCATCATAAAGCTGTCAGTCAGTAAATAAATATAAATCTATACTATAATAAAACAGTAGAGGTCGAATGTCTGTACATAGCAAAAAAATGCTAAAAACCGAGTCAGGGGATATAAGTAGACAAATAGAACAAATCATGATTTTTTTCAAATTTTTTGTTTCTCTGTCTGTATGTCTGTTTGTACGGGCTAATCTCCGAATCTATTGGACCGATTTAAATGAAATTTTGCATGGTTGTACCATATATCACCGGTCAACATGTAAGATACTTTTCATTCCGGAAAATTAAAGAGTTCCCGTGGGATAGTTAAAAAACTTATACAGCTTAGTACATTGAAACAAAAAACCAAGCTTTTTATCTGCTATCAAGATAACTAACTATATCGAATTTATCATTTTGCTAAATAATTGGCTAAACTTTTTTTTCTGTTTGGAAAAGCCACTTCGTGAACCAGTGGAGCCTTAAAGCTAAACCAATTTAACTAAGTTAAAATAATAATATTTAATTATACTTTTATTAAAATACTTTACAATAAAAAATGAACGCATATACAGTTCTTAAAATACTTAGTTTAATATCTTAATAATATCATAAAGAAATTTCTCGATAAGTCTATAATAAAAAATATATTTATCAATCCATAAATAATATTATAATAAATAACATTGTTATTTAAATAACTCATTTTAATATTTACAACAGTTTTATAGTAAGATAAAGAGTTTTATTTATGGTGAAAGGGTTTATTGGCGAACTCCGGGCTAAATGGAGTGGGGTTGAAACCAAAGTTGTTGTTGTGATTGGCCGGTTCGATCTGTAAAAATAAAAAAAGTATAGGTATTTTATTCTGAATTTAAGTTAAATTAATTAAAAAATATTAAATACCTCATTAAAAAATGAAAATTCTAAATATTAAAAACAAACTATCAAACAAAAGGTTCAACATTTTTTTGTCTTGAGATAATCTATACTATTATTATAAAGAGGTGAAGTTTGTGAGTTTGTTACGTTGTAGGGAGTAATCTATGGATCTACTGAACCGATTTAGATAAAATTTCGTAAGAAGATAGTTTCAGACCCTGAAGGATATAGGATACTTTTTATCTCGGAAACCATCCCTTTAGGGGGTGAAAATGGGGATGTAAGTTTGTATGGGGAATCAACCTAGGGATGAACCCGAGTGAAGGAGGGTGAGTCCCTAGTATTATATACGCTGGAAACAAAAATAAACAATAGAGAAATGACAACCTATTTCATTGAACAAAAGTTGTTATCACTTTCCAGGCATTTTAAAAACTACTTACTGTATCATCAACGAATCCACGTGCGGGGTAGGCGTTGGCGGGCGGGGCGTAGTCGCTGCGAAACTGCGGTAGGTTTTCGATGCCAATGAGATCAGAATCATCTGATTGCTCGCTAAAATAAACATATTGCATAGAATATAAATATTATATGTACATATATTATATAGATATTCTATGTAATTGCTAGTTTTGATGGGGTAAAAAGAGCGAAATAGCAATATTAAAAACGCGAAAGCGGTTACATGAAAAGAGAACTTTTGTGGTATTACACGTCAGCCATTTTTATTATCAGCTATACCTAATGAAGCAGAAGGTATCACGTTTCCGATAAATATAAGTAAAGATCGCGAGCGACCGTGACACTTTAGAAAACCATGTTTTGCTTGTATTTTTGTATGTTTAAATGTAAAGAATCCACACATATCAGTATGATTGAGTGCTATTATCTTGAAAGAAAAATATTTAAAAATGGCGGCAGATGCCTTATGCCACTTTTCGTAGCCTGATTTTTCAATTCTAAATCTAATTTTACAATTAATTAAAATTTAATTGGATTTTCAGGGCAAAAATAAAGTGTTTTCTTTAGAGAAGACGTCTCTTGGAACTGTTGGTAGATGGTGTCAACTACTCACCTCCATACTTTCTTACCTAATAGCGTCAAAGTCAGGAGCTTTAATAGCTTCGTTCCATATGGGGTTGGAGCCCTCGGTGGCGTGCTTGTTGGTGCCGGGCGCCGCCAGCGCCAGCCGGTTCAGGCCGGATTCTTGCGACCCGTACTTGGTCATCGACAGCGCTTGGAGGCGACGGTTTAAGCTGTGATATATAATATTTTTTTATTAATTTATTCACAACAGTAGGCGATCGACTTTGATTTTGGCGAAACTGTTCCGTTCTGTCGGAACTGCTGTCAAACGCAAGCGTTGTCGAGAGTACTAGTTCTCGACGTCAAAATGCGCTTTGATTGGCTCGTTTACACGATCAAAGTACCTAGTCATCAAAACTACTTTGTCAAAGCAGGCTTTGAAAAAAGTAGGACACGGTCCAAGTCCACTTTGATTAAGGTCCATATCAAAGTGCGCTTTGATGGCTCGTTTGCATGATCAAAGTTGCGTCACAGTAGTCCTCAAAACTACTTTGTCAAAGTAGACTTTCATCGTGTCAACGCGGCTTTAAGACATTCGGATAACTACGGAACTATATTCAGCTATTTCGTTATTGTAATGTTATGAACATATATGAAAAAGTTAAATTTTCTATTCTAACCCAAATTGATAATACAACCCTGTTAAATGAAAAACTTAGACCTTTAGGCTTACGTCAACTTGATTTAAACCATAAATACCACTTACCAAAAACTAACAATAAGTATGGAAAGAGAACTGATAACTACTTAATACCTGAATATGTTAACGAACTGCCCAGAGAACTGCAAGAAATGTATAAAAGTACCACGAAAATCAAATCAATTTAAAAAAAATATTTTTTACAAAAACAAACCGAATAAACTGAATGACTCTCTGTACTCAGATAAACCCGCGAGGTTTTCGTGGTACTTAAATTGCAAATTATAATGTATTTGTTATGTATTGGCCAATAAATAAAAAAAAAAAAAGGATAGACCTAACCAGTCACCTCTCCCCGTACGCCCCGTACGATCACTTTGAATGTATAGAATGTATATTAATTTATCAAAACTCTTTAAATTATATATCACGTGATAAAAAGATCAGTTTAGTTACTAAAGTAAAAACTAAGAGAATTAACAAAGTTGGTGTTATGACATCTTAACAATTTAAGAAATATTTGAAATTGTGTTCTCTCTGAAGTCTTATTAACAATCTGCCATATTACCAACGCAACTAATAAACCAAAATATAGATAGGATGTTTACAAAAGTTAAATATGAACTCACGCTCTAGTCCTGCAGACGTAAGCGATAAGTAGTACAATCGAGGAGAAGGCAAACAGCGCGCAGAGCGCCGCCAGCGCGTACACCGCCCGCAGCCCGCCGTCGGCGCTCAGCTCGGGGCTGTCGCCCGTCACGAAGTCGCGCAGCACCACCAGCTCCGTGTTCAGGGTCGTTTGGATTGAGCGGAGCAGGGCTGTGTCTCGCCGGAGACTGTATGGGAAAATAATATATAAGACAACCCTAGCTGCTCTTTATAATGATGTTTATGGAAACTTAGATGTGCTAAGAAAAAAATATTCGTCTGACGCCACACTGACAGTGTCTCTGTGCTGGCTTATAGGTGACCCTACGCTGGTAAAAGCTAACTTACAAAGCCTCGATCACCGACGTAGGGTTGCCAGCCTTTGTGTATTCTATAGGTTACATTTCGGAGAGTGTGCGCAGGAACTACATGAATTAATTCCCCCATCCCCTTTCCATCATCGGACAACTCGACGAACGGCTGGTCTCCATCCTTATGTCGTGGACATTCCACCCGTCCGCACGAAGCGTTTCGCTACGTCATTTATTATACGTATGGCTAAGGATTGGAACAACCTGCCTGCGTCGGTGTTTCCGTCCGATTATAATATGGGTGTTTTCAAGGCAAGAGTGAATAGGTGGCTACTGAATTAGTGCGACTTACCATCTACGACTGCGTTACCACTTACCATCAAGTGGAACGTAGTCAAGCACTAATTCTGAATAGTATAAAAAAAAAGGCTGTATGTACAAAAAGTATACTATGTTCTGTTCTCTTTAAGTTTCATGGGTTCTTTAGTGTTTTCCTATTTGTTTGTTCAATAAGTTGGTAAATGTAACAATCTTTATTATTGTAAAAAATTACAGCACTGGCTGACTTTACAAACAAATAACTTTTACAAAATTCAACTACTTACTTTCATGTTAAAGCTGGCTATCATGGCTAAGTTTAGATGAGTTTTTCTGTTAAGAAATTCCCAGCAACAGCCCGGAATTGGGAAGTTGGCAGTGTTTCACGGTTGTTTGGCGGTTTTATGGAAAATGCCTCGGAGAGCACGTGTCGCGTTGGTCCTGCGCCTTAACTTTCACCGGTCGTATCGTAGTATTGTCCTATCAGACTATGAGAGTAAAAGGAATACCGAGAACATGTTGTACGCGCGATGCATTATAACATCTCCTACGCGATTAGCTAATTTCAGTGAGATTGGCCGCCGTGGTCGAAATCGGTCAGAAGGAGATAATAATTATTATCGAGACTCACTCCTCGATGAGGCTGGCGGGCACGGGCGCGTCGTGCCGCACGAAGTGCGCGCGCAGCTCGGTGAGGTCGTCGCGCGCGGCGCCGAGCGCGTCCGGCGCCGGCGCCACCTGGTCCACGTTGCACGTCATGTCGAACCCCGCGCTGAACGTCTGCGCTATCTGACCACACCCACAAATCATGATAATAATGTCAACATCACAACACCCTCGATAGTGGTATCACTAGAATTAAAACTATATAAATTCTTCCAATCACGTACATATGTATATTCTCATGTAAAAAGCTCCGAAAGTCCTGCAAGATAATTCGAAATTTTTTATCCATTACCCCATGATACTCTTTTTAAAATCATTTGTTTGGCCAAAAGTCCGCGTTTATTATTTACGCAACATAAAAATATATAAATTAGGGCGATGTATTGATTAATTAAAGTATGTACTGAACAGATACATGTACGTATATTCATTGCCCTTTTCAAGTTTTAAACTGACTAATAAAATACAATTAACTTAATATACTTGCTTGATGGTGACGCAATAATCAAATTAAATATAACAGCGGCTTGTATGGCTCAATATGTATGGCTCTATTATAAATAATTAAATTATTATCTAATAGTAAATGTATTGAATAAAATGCGTAGAGTAGTAAATAGAAAGTATGCAGCATTTTATTCATTGCTTAAGCTTTTTAAAAAGGGCCAAAATAGCAAATAACACAACAAAGAATAATAAAATGTTTATAATATAAACTTACAAAGTCTCGATGTCGCTCAATTTGGTCTAAAGTGTTGACAAATGTAAAGATGACCCGGTTCAACGAGGATATGAGGTAAATCTTGACTGCCGCCGTGTCCTGCGCACCCGCTGGAATACGACATATACAATATATGTACATACATACATAAATAACAGTTTCCACTTTGTTAACAGGATATTTTGCAACAGAGTTCCGTGTCGCATAGACACAGCACCCAGACATATTATAACCGGTCTGTCATATATATTTATAGTAGGTTAATATATTGGTTGATCCAACTAAGTTTTTCGCACAGCCTCGTAATAAGTCACTGAATGGAGACATAAATTTTTAATTATTTAGTTATTTTTTTAGAATGTTCACGTCTCAAGAAGCATATAACTTTGTATCTGTTGTTTTAAACAAAAAACGTGGCTTAGTAATTAATTTAAAAGACCTATATACAATAATAGCCAACACTATTACCCTAACCTATTTTTTGACTAGAGATTTTTCTAGCCACTTACATAAAACACCTATTAATCAAATCTCAGCAAAGTACCTACGTAGCTCCTGTAGTTTTTGAGTAAAATATCTGCGAAAAACGGACATGATGAAACTACAAGGGTTCCGTTTTAACCATTTAGCTGCGAAAAATTGGCGTTTAAAATCCGCCATTTTGATTATTTTTTTACTTTTAACATACCTACACAGACATTGGTGATCCATATGAATTTAACGACGACGTTACGAACGACCGTATAATTTATTAATGTCGTTTCAGCTGTTTAGAGCTTTAATTACTCATAAGGACATATAAGATCATAAATTTTGGACTTCTTCACAGTCGCCTGGACTGTTTTAAATTTAAATATAAAAAGAAAAAATACATACCAGGATCCGTGGCCAGCACATCGAACTCGAACATGCCGTGCATGCTGGCGGTGGGCTGCATGTTGAGGCGCAGCGCGCCCGTCGCCGCGTGCAGCACGAACGCCGCCTCGCGCACGCTCTCCAGCGACGGGTCCACCACCATCGACTGCATGTCTATTGTGTACGTTATCGCTGCGTCTTCTGTATGTGTTGCCTGGAAAGTTTTTTAATGGCGATTTTTGGACGTTTCAATACTAATTTTTAGATAGGGCATAGGAAACAGGTGTATCTGCCAATAGACAGTGAAACATCGACTCACAAAACTTCAGTACACCCGTGACCACGGTGCTTCTAGCAGTGCCGAAATATTGAAAGCTTATAAAAGTAAGTGATAAATATGGCATACATTAGGCATACCACAACACAAAAATTTACACAGTAGGTACACTTAGGTAGGTATATACTAAAAACTTAAAGTTAATGCATTTGAATATGAAAGGTTTATTTATAATTCTGAACATTATTTTACTAATAAAGAGCCACGTTACATTTTAACCTGTTGGACTATTTTATGTCTTAAATACTACAAAAAATTACTACATATTGCGCGAGGTACATTTAAGGTCTGAGGAGCACTATTAATTAATAATTATAGGATACATTGCAGGATGTTAAACTCGTGGTTTTCACATTATTAACTTGTAAGCGATAAGTAATTTTAAAAAGTTATAATACCTGAACAGTGAGTAATTCTCTGTTGATGGTGTCGAGGACAGAGATACCGGCGGTGTACAGCTTTCTTACGAAGAATGGCCGAGGATTGGCCTCTCTTACCTAAAAGGAAAAACATTGTATTAAATAACACTTAGAGGAAACTGATATTAGGTAAATACCTACTTTTTATTGAAGGGAAGTTAGCAGTGTTACCCCATCAGTGCCTCGGAGAGCTACAGGTACGATAGAATAATATTACTTCCGTTCCTGCACTTGACCTTTCATCGCAAGGTTCAAGTATCGCCCTATCAAACTTTGAGAGGAAGGAATAGAGAGTGAATGTACTTGAGGTTATCCCCACACGCACTGCGCTATAATATCTACTGTGCAAATGGCTAGTCTCTGCGAAGTTGGTCACTATGATCGAAAGAGATTAGAATATAATAATAATTCTTATTATATACATACATATATGTATATCCCAATCTTTTGTCGTCAAAATTGGAGATAAATAAACTTCCAATAAATAAACTTGCGACACGCTCAAAGGACCGAGGACACATTGTATCAATATTTTGTCATATTTATAGAACTGAGGCCTAGGAGGCCAGAAGTAGGGTAGTATTCAGTCTGAAATATTTTTAGTTCGAATATATCGTTGGTATCTATAGAATACTTTATCACATTCTTAATAAGACAAAAAAAACAATTGTTGGAGAATGTTGATAGCAAAAGTTCAAATATATGTAATCTAAATAATATATTAGAGTACAATAAGTCTAAAATATGTTAAAGAAGAAGAAGAAGACGAAGAAAAGAATAATCAAATACTTACAGTAACAGTCACAGTCAGGATCGAATTACTTGTGGAGTGTTCAGAGTTGGATGCGGATATTCCTAACGTGTGTATTTCACTTTCAGTACGCGTTAGCTCCCTCCTTAATGTTAGAATATTTTCCTTCGAGTCCAGTGCAAAGTAGCCTTGACTATTTCCACCTATAAAAAGTAAATCCTGTGGATACTTATAACTAGCTTTTCCAGCGGATTGACTTGTAGAATACGACTCTAATCTTATAATATTAAATAAGCAATTCTGGTACATAATAGGTATATACATATTTTTCGTGTATCTCGGAAACGGCTCTAACGATTTGGATTAAATTTTATATGTAGATAAGGTTTTGCTTTTTAAGTTTATCTACATAAGTGTCTTTTCTCTAAAACGCCATTATTTACAAAAAATCGGACAAATGCGAGTCTGACTCGCACATCGAGGGTTCCGTAGCATTAAACGTTAAAATAAGTTTAAAAAAAATGTACAAACTTACAGATTGTGGTTGGTTACAGAATGTGTTTGTCAGAAATAAACCAAATATTTCTTCATCATAAATTATTTTATGAATATTTCATTAAATCGTTATTTCTGTTATGTATGTATATCTATGTATATGTATGTACTCACTGATAATGTTATAGTAAATCTCATGGCAGTCATCTTCGCAGAGATAATTCTTAGGGTCTTCAGCCAAAGGCAGTTGATGTGACTCAGTCAGACCTACTTCTCTTTCTGCAAAAAACCGTATACCGCTATAATATACAATTACTTTTATAATATTGCATATATTATGAAATCGATAATTTTAAGCTTTTTAATCACAATCGGTTTTTTTTATCAAGAGATTTTCAGAAGAATCCGGGAGTTGGAAAGTTGACAGTGTTACATGCGGTTCTGTTGGTCCTCTGCCTTGAGCTCTTGTCGGTCGAAGAATCTACTAGGAAGACTTAATTATATGTCGCCACTCAGAGTCACCTTTTAGCCAAAAAAGAAAGTTTATACGTGTACCTACTAAATTTAATTTAAATTCGTCCAGCTGTTTGACGCTTCGGTGTGAAAATTTTTCGAGAGGAAGAGTAAGATTTTTAAGGAGGATTAACAAACATACACACACGTACAAACTTTCGTATTTATAATGATAACAGATACTTCTAACTCCCACAGTCGTCAAATGACACGTGTAGGCCGTGCAATTGGAAACGCGGTTCACCCATGCTCCCGACTGTCAGACTTACTTTTATACGACAGTGGGGAAACGGCTTTAGGGTTTGACGGGTTTACCTATAACTGACGAAATGATGGCATTATGACTTTTAAACATTGAAAACGAAATGCACAATGAAAATTGTATTTTTTTAAGCCCTTGCATTCGCTATTGCAAGGATCTTTAAACTGTGATAATAGCGTGATTACACAATAAAGTATACACCACTGACCTACAAAAGCGACATCGGCAGTGTCCCTCGCGAAGACGGGTACGCCCACAGTGGGCACGAACACCGCGCGCAGCGACACGTCGGCGGACAGCGGGCCCGGCTCCGTGCCGCCGTCTGTGGCGCGGACGCGGATCTAGAATGTTAATCTAGATATTGAATGTTGATCTAGATAATGAATGTTAATCTAGATAATGTATGTTAGTCTACATATTGAATGATAATCTAAACATTGAAAGTTAAGTGTTTGAAAATGTTTTTTTTATTATTATTTTATTATATGTATGACATTTATGGTTAGATAACTTACGTAAATTAAGCGAAAAGAAAAACATATACAAATGATAAAAATAAACTCGTCTAAGGTATCTAAAATTACATTCTTATCGAGTGTATTATAAAATACCGATGTGTTCGTATTTCTTCTCTTTTTAAATGGTTGGAGTGATATTGATAAAAAAAATCCTAGCTATAGACCTGATAGTTGGCGCTGTCTTTGACATTCCTTTTTTTTAATTTCACAAAGATAATTGAGATTTCAACTGGAGTAAGTTTGTCCAGCTAGTACCTACTCATGTAATTATTACCTGAAATACTTTAACATTTTCAGTAAAAGTTTCCTTTAGGACGAGGGACCCTTGATTCAAACCATCGTTCAACACCGTGAAATATTGCTGCGCTTCATCTGAAATATAAAAACTGTTTGACGTTTGTTCTAGATACCTCGCCTTATTAAATACTAACACTGCCCGCGGCTCCGCCCGCGTTTAGATGACCAAAAACCAAATTCTTAGGTTTTACATATTTAGTATACTCTTACAGTTTTTGTAGTGTTGCAGTTTTTGTATTTTTTCTTAGAAGTGAGATACTTTCCAGCGATAAAAAGTATCCTATATGTTGACCCGGATAGCCAGTTATCATCATACCAAATTTATCAAAATCTATCCAGTGTTTTTCCCATGATGCGGTAACAGACAGACAGACAAAAATTCTAAAAACTATAGATTCGGCCTCTGTATCGATAATTAAGTCTTTTTCAATAAGATTTTCCAAAAAATATTTAATGTACAAATTCGGCTTAGTTACAATTTTATTATATGTATATATGTACATAGATATAGGATGTTTAATGTTGTTCTTTAATTTTTCGCATATAGGCTAAATCACGTTATCACATTAATATATAAATGTAAAAGTGTGTGAGTGTATATTTATGTTACTTTTTACCGCTGTTACAGATTTGAGCAAAATTCGAAATAGAGATAGCTTATACCCTAGTTTAGCACAGGCTACTTTATTATATAATATTCACGCACCACAAAAAATCGTTGCCATGTCGTTCTTTTCGCTTTTCATAAAATATTAGGCCAAAATCATTGCCAATCTCACACGAACAACATACATTTTACACACAGATGCTTATATTTATAATATGTATGTATTTAAAGTTATATATGTGTAGTGTATCAACTATCTAATATCCATAACACAAGCCTCGTAGCTTACCATGGAACTAGATGGATGATGCTGTGTGTTAATGTACCAACATATTTATTTATAAACATATATACAAACTATCGCATTTATAAAAGTAATCTAATAATGTTTCATTAATATTACCATCCCCAACAATCTCAAAAGTGACTATTCCAGCGTGAAGTCCGTCATCATCGGTCGCGTTAATTCTGTCCAGCGCCTCCCCATTAACCAATTGTAACCGGCTATTAATCGCTGCCCACTCCTGTTAGATATTTGTTAAAAGTTTTATTCATTGTGCATTAAATATAATATTTTGTTATCTTTACAAAGTACTCTTCTCTTTTTATTTAGCTATTATTTATTAACTAATTTGTCTAAGTAAAGTTCATATTAAATACTTATTCAACTTATTTTCTTTTCCATGACTTTTATGTGCGCCCGCGCCATTTGAGTACAGATTATTTCTACAATGTCACGCATTAAGTGGAAATCACTCTTAGAATTGTAAGTTACATAAGCTTTAAAATTAATAATAATTAGCACAAATCACTCTTAAACCTTAATAAACGTCATAGTCATAAACAGTTGACATCTTATCCCATTGGTTATAACTGTAATACAGCGATTGTCAAAGTCCTGAAGTGCCTTCTCGTGGTAACTTTTATACCTGCCAACCTCGTCATTTCTCGACTGTCATACAAAAGTATGACTGTCGAGTGCGCTTTACCCGCGTCTCCCCACAGGGCGCGCGCGCGCCCCGCACGACGCCCTGTTTAGATGAAGTGTATGGATTATTAAAATCTGGTTATATTTAAAAAAATACTCACCCGAGAAAGTCGCACAGTAGCGCCGTCTCGTGGGAACACAAACACGGGCTCGTGGAAGTTGTATGGGTTTATTGTTAGTTCATATATCTCTTCAGAGTCAAGCGGAGGTTCGCCGTGGTCGAAAGCCTGTATGATAATTATAAATCATATATTCATCAAAATATAGATTTTTTAATTTATTTAATAAAATTTGTTTTTTTTTCAATTCACATTTTTTTAAGCAATGCTTTAATTACCAACCATCCTTTTAAAATACTAATAAAAGAGCCCTACAAACCAAATAACTAAAAATAAGATACAACATAAAATACTAATGTAGCAAATTAATTAAATTCAAAATTTTATTTATAACGTCATAGTAAACTATTAAAAATTACCAAATATACCTACTCGTATTCCAATATTGTAAGTTCCCCAATAACCCCTTAAATCCATTGCAGTTTCCAGTTCCCCAGACACATTATAGAAGTTTCCATCGTTAAGGATGTGAACCATGGAGAAAAGATTTTTGGGGACGAAGATGTCTCTATCAGTAACTGTCAGATTTAGTATTTCATAGCCAACTCTAGAGTTATTAGTGTTGGGCTCGTCGCGGTCTGGTGCGTGTATGACTGGACGTAATTTGGAGCCCTGAAATAAGACCAAATAATTTATAAAATGAGTAACTAATGGACGCCAGCTGCTCCGCTTGGGTAGGTACATCGATAAAAAGCAGTTTATTAATTTAAGATACAAGCTAAGTTCATAAGTTTTCTATTTTATATAATGATAAAATAAGTCTGTGATTCAGTATGTGGCGAGTTATTATTAAATGACGATAACGTAGAACTGTGTTCTCCAGGGAGAGAACATCTGTTCCATTTCTCCGGCTTGCTTTCATTAGTCTTCTTGTCCGTTCGAGACGACCAATGCAAATCAGGGGGAAATAGGTAAGTTTTTTGTTTGTTTGTGTTAATGTTGCACCTGGTTTACCCATTTTGGGGCACCAAGTATCTTTGGAACTACCAGCGATTAAAATGAAAGTGCATATATTCAACTATTATGCTTAAAAATTTACGTCGTTTTGCGCTGTTTACCTCGAAAACAGCACATTTTCAAAACTGTCAATTTAAATCACACACATAATTACTTATTACTAATATTTTTAGGAATTTTCTTTCGCTAAAAAGGTAGTTGAGAAAATATATAGATTTATTTGTTTGTATTGTAGTGGTTTATTGTACACATATATTAATGAAAAGGTCTAAAGATATACATATAAGCACATAAGTTATGATATAATATGTACTTACCATCTTAAGTCCTTCTGATATGGACCAAGTGAGTTGGCTGCGTGAAGGCAGTTCTGGTGCATTATCATTAACATCCAGCAATACTACGAAGATTTCTGTGTTATTCTGGTTCCTGTTGCCATCTGAATGTGTTTTTGTTTAATGTCATTATTAAAAAAATCACTAGGAATATAAATAACTAAATGTTAAGATTTTTTGTTAGTGTAGTGTTAGTGCGAAGTGTAGTAATAGAAAATACACAAGTGTTTTACTTAAACTAAATTTACTTATTTTATTAGCACTTTACTTTTTGCAAAATTGTTTAGAGATAGGAAAAAATACCTCATTTTCAGTTATTATTGTTATATTACAAATGCTTAATAACGTTTCTTTACATAAACGAAACTTAAAGACCTTACCTCCTTCAGAATAAAAGTTGTCAAATAAGTTTAAGAATATCCTATGTGTAGGCTCATGCCCATCCCTGTCGAGTACTTCGTCAGTGGGATAGTTCACATAGATGCGGCCAGTGTCCTGATCCACCGAGAAAAAGTTACGCAAACGAGGGTTGAAAGCATAATTTATCTGATAGCTGACCGTATGGTATATTTCTGTGGAAATGCGAAAATTAAATATGATATTGAAGATAATAAGATGAAAATTAAAATCGGCGAAGTAGGTAAATTAAGCTCATTTGACACACTTCAAAGCCCCTGCGAATTTGTATTGTATTGTTTTTTTTAATCGTTCAGATTCACTCAAATGAAACACTAACTCTATATTAGTTTTTTCTTATAATATAGGTACTTTAAGAGAACTTTTAAATGTCGATTGTTAAACGTTTCGACCTCACTTCGCTCGGGTTCGCCTCTAGGAAAACAGAAACAAATCTATCCCACGGAAACTGTACATTTTTTCGGGATAAAAAGTACCCTATGTGCTATTCCAGACTATAATATATCTCTGTATCAAATTTCATCTAGATCTGTTAAGCTTTTCTGGCATGATTGAGTAACAAACATCCAAATATCCATCTAAACTTTCACATATGTTGTCAAATATTCCTGAAAATCTAAGAAAGTATTAAGAGTTGAACAATGAATTAATTATACAGACACAAACATTCATTTACCATCTCTATCGAAGTCTTCCGAGACCACAACCACCACTTCGTCGCCAGGCTTCGCGTCCTCCTTTATGAACACCGTCGTATTGAACAAGTCCTCTCTAGCCATGGGGTATTTGTTATTTGTGTCTATTATTTGTATTTTTATCTGAAAACCAAATACTTATAATCTAAACTATAAATTAAATAACTTTGTCTGTTAGTCTGTCTGTTCGATGCGTTTCACGGCTAAACCGCTGAACCAATTTTTATGAATTTACTTAAGGTTATCTTTTATCGCAAAAATAAAATGTGAAGGGTAGTGAAAGAGGGGTTGAAAGCGTAAAGCGTTGGAAGGCCTCAAGACTTATATAGGAATGCTTTCGTTTTCCAGATTATAGTTTATTTTAATTACAAAAATTAAAGTTGAACATTTGTTGATTAAATTTGTACATTCGAGTAGAATTCGCGGTTCGAAGGTCCTATCACAAATAAAATACTCTTGAATAGTACTCTTAAAACTCTTAGTGCTAATCGAGCTTAATTTTAGTTTTTATTGTTACACTGTAAAGTTTGCACGATACTTACACCAAATTTGAAGTTTTTTAAATATATATATTCTCAATATAGAGAAAAATATCTTCAAAAATTGTTTGGTATAATTATTGAATTTCCCTTATTCTTACGCTACTTACATCGCCCTCAGTCTCCCAGTAAGTGTCATCAGGAGGACAGTCCTGAGGATCCTCTTCGGAGCACTTGTCACTCGCTATCACAGTATAGTACAGGTAGTGTCGGGGCGGAATGTCAGCGTCGATGGCGCCGTCCAGATCCACTTCTATTTGGCCTGAGATAAAATCTATCTTCACAAGATCCTTAGGCGTGTCTTCTCTTGGACTGAAATAAATTAATTAATTTTTGTTTGCCCAAAAATTTCTTTAAATAAACCGTAGTTAGCGACATTATAATATATTCTCTAGCATCGCTGAATGGCTCTGGAACGATATGAACTTTTAGTCACTAAAACCTCTGGTGACTCTAGTAATACAATAACAATCCCAATTTGGTTAGTTAATACTAATATGTACTTAAATAGAACTATTTTTTCGGATTATTTCGCGGATTTATTTTGATTTTTGGTTCCCGATGTTTCGAATGCTATACAGCAATCATTGTCACGGGAGATACCAAGGTTTTAAACGACTTCATATATTATAAAAATTATTAAAATTTTCAAAAATGTTTGAAATTAACAAATATTGTAAAGTACTTTGATGCCATTTTTGAGACGTCTAAAACCTTGGTCTCTCCCGTGACCATGATCGCTGTAAAGCATTTAGAACGTCGGGAACTAAAAATTAAAATAAATCCGCGAAAAAATCCGAAAATATAGTTTTATTTAAAATGTCAAATATTCGCGTAAGTCAAGTAAGTATCTATATACTATTTTTTTATTGCTCTTATATGTACTCGTAAAATACAGAAATTCAACATACAATAAAATTAGTTAGCAAAGGTGGACTTATCTCTAGAAGAGATCTCTTCCGGTCAACCTAAGTATTATACTTGTATTTACTTACATAATAGTATATCGCACTTGATTGTAGAGCGGTCCGTCGATGTCAGTGGCCTGCACCGAGCCAATGATGGTGTTGGTGCCGCTGTTCTCTCTCACGCGCAGCGCCTGCGCCAGCGTGCCCGCGGCCCACTGTGGCGCGTTGTCGTTCATGTCGACTATCGTTATAGTATACGTCACTGGAATAAAGTTTATTGTTTTAAATAAAAGGATTTATGCAAAATTATTTTTTGCTTATAGCTTCGCGTGAAAACCTTTAAGTTTTTCGCAATTTGAATGAAACCTGGTCAACAGGGGTCACGATGTATTCCGGGAATACCTACGTTTCCGTGGTTAAAAAGTTTTAGTAACACTTTAGTTCTAGAATTATTGGTAGATGGCGCTACCTAGGAACTTAAAAAAAAATATAAAAGGCATACTTGACACGGTCAAAACTAACTTGTAGTTCTGCCTGTATTGTCTGTTTACATAATAACGAGTTACACGAAAACCTTTACTTGATTAAACCAAATATTAAAAACCATCACTTGCACCAAATTTTTAATCTGATTTAAATATTTATATGACTATTATGAAAATTCAAAAACTTTACTTACATTCATCAAAATCCTGGCCGATTTCAGTCATTATATCAATAACTCGCACAGTGAGATAGAGTACCTCGAACTCTTCGTAGTCGATGGTAACATTATTGCGTATCTCTTTCACGATGAGTCTCCCTATCGCGTTACCTTTTCGGTCTGGATCCGGGTATATTGTCTCGATGTCCAAACAACTATTATATAATTGTTATTATTGTTAATAATTCAAAATTAATACTACTTAATTAACAAGTGTTAATTTTTGTAATAAAATTTTAATAATGTCGGAGGATTTATTAATACGGGGGTGGTTCTGTTAGGTTTTAGTGGAGAGTACTGGCTTCTTTAGCCGATGAGTCCCACATAACAACCTATATATATACAAGTTGTATGCGTAAATATATATCCCAACATTAAAAAAAATCAAAGTCTATCTACTACACATATACTAAATCCATCCAGCCGTTTAAGTAATAAAAAATACAAATAAAAAAAAAGTTCGCCGTCACGAGACGCACGACAGAAGTGAAACATCTATGTTAATATTAGAATTAATAATTAATAAAAATCTATAACGAAATATGGAGTAAAATAAACAAAAAGTACAGTTCCGTTAATAAAATCAATTTATTTTTCTTATAATTATTTTAATAATAATAATAATTACAGAATATATATTCATAAGTAGAATAGAAAACATGTAAATATTTTTAATAGACCGTTTTACAACGGAGAGTGTATAATGTATAGTATACGCGCGCGCACATGACGTGACATAGAGTGACATGGCCCGATGGCATGATGCGCCAATAGATGATTCACATCATAAGTTAAAATTTCAAACGAGAAAATAGTAGAAAAGCTTAAAGAAAGCGTCATTCTATAAAGATTAAAAGCAGTCTTCTAAACAGATGAATAAAATTGAAGTGTCTGTTTGTAATGTCAAAGTAACAGCTTTTTACTAAATGTCTATAAAATTGAATACTGTACATAAAAGAAAAAAACAATTTTTAATATTTTTGTCTGTCTGTTTGTTCCGGCTAATCTACGAAACGGCTGGACTGATTTTGACGGGACTTTCACTAGCAGATAGCTGATGTTATAAGGAGTAACTTAAGCTACTTTTATTTTAGAAAAATAATTTATAATAATAATATCATTTATTTCAACCATCAAGGATCATATTTTGTTAGTAAAGACACAGTTTAACCTAATGTTAGTACACATTTAACCTACTTAATCCTAAACCTTATCTAAGACAGACTCGATTTGTCAGCATGTGCAGCATTTGGCAATGGTTTAAATATTGACAATCGAACCTGTCAGCAAATGCAAAATTAAGGTTCTGCTCAAAAAAAAAACTTACCTAGAGACGAATCCGAGCGAAGCGAGGGTAAGTCGCTAGTTATATAATATAAATATTTGTAAAAGCAGTACATTAAACTCACTTGTGATACTCCGAGGCCGGCGTCTCGCGGCCCTGCTTGGTCGCGTATGAAGTGTCCCATATTATCTGGAACTGCAGCTCCGCGCTGGTGTCCTGGTCGCTCGCCGTGATCTCTTGCGATTCTTGCGTTATTTGGAAGCCTTGCGGGACATTCTCCTCTACTTGCGGACTGCCTCGAGGCTAATGTCGCAATTTTATAACATTTTCATATTCAAAGGTTTAATTTAAGTTAAACTTGGAAATATAATTATCATCACTAGTGATCGTTCTGTGGTTGAAAATCAACCATAATTCATTAATTTTGATCGATATTGAGGTTCTTTTTTCAAAGTTATATATATATATATATATATATATATATATATATATATATATATATATATAGAGATAGATAGCCTATGAAATCCAAAAGAATTTTGAAACGGTCCCATAGATTCAGTGATTTGCACGTACAGACAGAGTGTAGTATTGATGAAGGTTATCTAATATTATGTTACATGTTTTAGCAGTGATGTAATTATATATAAATAAAATGCGCGAGCGGATTCGCGGGTAAAAGAAAGTGAATAAATTTTGGCTTTCTGCAGTCCTTCTCTATATAAACTTTAACTATGCCAAATGGACTAAGATCCCGCTGTAAGATTGCTACGTTCATAGCGTATTTAATCAAAATCATTTGTTTATATATACAATAATAAAAGGGACAATATGTTTTGATCGGGGTGCCTATTAAAATGTGCTGTCTAGTATGTTTAATTAAATAAATAATAATTGACTTTTTGGAACAAAAATGATACATTTGTTATAAAAATGATATATACTCCACTGCACAGAAATATACGTAGAGATCTTAAAAAATGATAGCTGTCAATTATTATTTATAGACCCTATTATAGACCCCGGTCAAAACATATTGTCCCTTTTATTATTGTACTATATAAAAAAATGATTTTATTAAATACGCTATGAACGCAACAATCTTGCAGCCGGATCTCGATCCAAAAACTCATCCTCCTACGGAGGAGTATGTATGGACATGCAATATGTTTCTAAAGGGGTTCAAAGTTTTTGCTTCACGTATTAATATATAGATAATGGTTGATGTTGTAAAGTAAGAAATTATATCATTTACTAGATTTTTGTTACGTAATATTTTTTTTAATTAAAACCAGACAAAGTTATATTTAGAATAATAATAATTTAAAGTTATATGAAAGTTACATTAAAATAATTGAAGACTAAATGCTAAATAGTAAATACTTACTAAACGTAGCGTTGGCGGCGTGTTGTTGATGTCGATCAATTGTATCACTAGTTGAGATGTCGCGGTGTTGATGGGCTCGCCCAGAGTGTCCTCAGCTCGCACCTTTTGTTAAATATTTGTAATAGCTTGCATATTTTTTTAAATAATAAATGATATTTAAATTAGTATTAAAAGTAGTAGAAAATACATATAAAAAGAAATACAAAATACATCATCATCATCTCCCTGCCCATTTCCCAATTTCCCAATCACTTGGGGTCGGCGCAGTACATCTTCGGTAGGGGAAAGGGGGGTACAGTGAGCCGTAGTACACAGTGAATCAGTGGCTACTTCTCTTTGCCTATGCTTTCTATATACGTAGCACAATAATGGAACGCATGCTTTAGTACTTACACCTCTACCCCGCCAGTGTCCATCACGCTCTCGCTGTTGAAGAATGTGTTACCGCCATTTGGCTGTCCATGAGTATCAAATCTATTTTTTTACTTCTACTACTCGAGTGTTTAATTCACGAAAATGTTTAATATTGAATGACTTACTTTAAATTACATAAACAATAATCTAATAAGCTTCAGAAATAAATAGCTGTTTGATTCGTATAGATTATGTAAGCTATAGGAATCCGTTGTTCAGTTGTTAGTGGTGCTTTGGGGAACAGTGGGCCATTTCCATGTGGGGTACAGTGGATTGGCGATCCACTGTACTCTTCACTAAATTTCGAGTTAATTAGATTATTTTATTAGTAGTATGTAATAATAATTTTTGTTTTAGATTAACAACATAGCACGGCACCGTAAGAGAAAGACTCAAATTGGCCTTACTACGGAATAACTGAATAGATACAAAATGCCATTGACTTTGTTTTACGGGGCAACAAAATTAGAAAAGTTGTAAAACTAGAAAAATAATCCATATGCAACCTTACATACATATTATGCGAAAAGATAAAACACATTGGCAAGCTACTTTTAACTCCCAATTATGGGATAAATAAGATTTTCACTGGAAAAAGAATTTAAAATAAAGAATATATTGAGCAACGTCAACAAGATAAAATTAATAACCGTATGAAAGTAGCAAAACTTAATAGTAAAAAAGTTATGCAGTTCGATTCTAGTGACGAAGAGAGAAATAAAACAAAGGAGTAATATAAATTAAGAGAGAGAAACGACTAATAAGTACTGTAGATAATAGTAGATTGATTCGCTGTAACCCAACAGTAAAATGTATGATGATTTCATGTGTTGATTCACTGTGCCCCAATAAGATTCACTGTACCCCATGCGGAGATCCAATGTACCCCATATATGGGGTACAATGAATAATTTCCCACTTTTTAAAAAAACCTTTGCGTACAGAAAACTATTAATATTATTGGTAAAGTTGAACTAGATTTCTACAGCCAACTTAACACCTCATTGCTCTAGTTATAAATATTAGTAATTTATAGTTTATTTATATAGGTAAACTACATATGAAAAAAAGTGATCCAGTGTACCCCCCTTTCCCCTACTGCTGATAGGATTAGGCAATATGTTTACGATCGGCTGCCAGCCTTACATCAACCCTCCTTGGGTTAATGTCAGGCAAACTTGGGTTAACCAAAGAATATACATTGTCATTAATATGAAAAGAAAAATGAACTAAGAAATATGTTATAAATGAAAATATAAGTTTAATTTGTTTTTGCATTTTGAAAATATAGGTGGTATTTACTATTTTACTAGGAAAAAAATAAATATTTTAAAGTAGGTATTTTATTATTGTAATATTAATAATAATATTTAATTAAATAAATTTTAAAATTAGATTATTCTAATTTTGGTACTTTTGACATTGCATGTTTGGAGCATTATGCTTGTACACTTTGATACATTCCCTCTGGTTTATTATAACTTACCTGAATGAGAAGTTCATTTTGTCGATGATAATCGAAGCTGTTGTTGGCTGTGACGGTGATGTCGCCGGTGTCTTTATCAATCGTCAGAATATTTTGAGCAGTTCCTAAGATACTGTGACTGTAGAAAAGTCGTATTTTAGAATTTTAAAAGTCACAAAGATGGATAGATCCAAACTAGATTCTAAATGGAGTTAGTAATGAAAACAAAAGCTTCAAATGATTTATTACAATAATGTTATAATATCCCTTAGAGATTTAACTAATTGATTTCTCAAACTTATAATATTTATATACATATATTGTACGTGAAAAGAGTTACGTTGTCTTTCAGGACTCTCGTTTAAATTGAAATTTACAGATATCTTAGATTTTTTAAAGTTGTCTTAAAATGATTCAATAATGAAACAAATGCATCTTACACGACTCTATCCCCGACGTCCCTGTCGTGGGCGACCACGGTTGCGACTTTGAACCCCTCACCCTCAGTCTCTTTGAACGTCACAGTTTGTATACTGTGTTCAAAGATGGGCAGCTCATCGTTCCAGTTAGATAGTTCGATATAAACCGTCGCTACACCTACAAACTCGGGTTTGTCTAAATCTGTCGCTACCACCTGATGAAGAAATGAAAACCTATATTTTCTTTTAAGTGCTATATGTTATTATTAGAGAGTTTGCTGACTGCTTTTGGTTCTAGCTAATTTCGATTAACAATGGCTCATAACTATAATAAACTGGGTTTTGTTCGAGATTACGCTCGTATGGTAAGCGGGCCAAAAAGACATCCTATGTCCGTGCCAAGATGCAATTTCAAATTTTCATCGAAATCTGTTCAGTGCTTTAAGAGTAAAAAAGTAACAGACAGACAAAGCTACTTTCACGCGTATAATATTAGTAAATATGGATTGACCTACAAAAGAATTAAGATTTTATAGTTACTTTTGGGAAGACGTACCTTAAGTTCAATAGACTGAAACTCAGGCACTTCATAATCGAGCATGCTGTGGTCGACAGTTCCCATGATGAATGTTTGATTTTGGTAACCAATAGCTGGTTGGATGAAGAAGGCCGTATGTGCCCCTGGCGGGAACACACTTTCCAAGTGCACTGAGTATCGTGCGTGTTGACCCTGTGCAAGGTAATTTCTTGGTACAATATTGTAATTTTACTATATATTATGGTATTTCTACTACTAATATAAGTCAAATTTTATTATATAATAAAAAACTCGACTGCGTAAAAAGCGAACTAAAAAGATGAGAACAAGTTGGCGAATAAATATATGCAGTCCAAGTCCCCCTTTTAAATTTTGCCGCAGTCGGGTAATAAATATCGCCAAATAGACACATATTATATAACAACTAGCATTGCCCGCGGCTCCGCCAGCGTTCAGATGATCAAACATCAAATTCTTAGGTTTTACATATTAGTATACACTTATATTGCAGTTTTTGTATTTTTTCTCATAAACGAGATATTTTCCCGCGGTAAAAAGTATCCTATATATGTTGACCCGGATAACTAGCTATCACCATACTAAATTTCATCAAAATACCTGCAGTGGTTTTTGTGTGATGTGGTAACAGACAGACAGACAGACAAAAATTCTAAAAACCATAGATTCGGGCGTCTGTATCGATAATAATGTTTATTTCAATAAGATTTTCCACAAAATATCTAATGTACAGATTCTGCTTAGTCACAATTTTACAATATGTAGATATAGATAAATAGATCTACATAATAAAAAAATAAATAAATGTGGCACTCGGAGACTGCCGCGGTAAAGCTATTGCATAGCATTTTTTATCAACTTATGCAATTATAATTATTTATTTATTTTATTAATGCAGTATTTTTTTTTCCTTGACTTTCTTCATTAATAAATGCACTTTGTTTATTCATATTTAAAACACTTTGTACACAAATTATACGAGTACAGATATTCACTGTTGTACATAGATGATAAATACCTATACACCTATATACTTTCTCACAAACAGCTGATTACGGTAGTTTTCTAATACAACCAATGCCACCTAAAGGCGGGTTGCTGAACTAAAGAGACAAGCGTGATATTTCAAAAAGTCAATAAAAGTTCTGGTATTTATCGATAGATGGAAGTATCACCGCTGTGCCGATCGGAGTGGGGGGTGTCAGGTTTTTTTCGTTACGGAATTTCTGGATTCGGTCCCCACGCTCAAGGCCCGCGATAGAAGCTATGCAATAGCTTAATATATATCTTAAAGCTAACATTTCAGCGTTAACACAACAAAACAAAACTCACCAAATCCCTGTCATTGAAACCGAAAGCTGTGTCAAAATTTAAAGTTTGCGGTGTCTCTTCATCTATTTTGATATTGTATTCTTTCTGTAAAGGCTCTGGATACTGATCGTTGACGTCATTGATAATGATGACGACTTCGTTACGCGTTGCAAATGTTTCATTGTCGTATTTATATGCTATTATCGACAGTTGGAACACTTCTCGCTGTAATGTATCTCGGTCTATGGGGAAAACTTGGAAGATGCCCCCACTCCTTCCACCCTCTATTGTTATTATGTTGAAGTACTCTTTGTCATCTAAGGATTTATTGCAGAATTAAAAAAAATTACATTTTTTTTAAAACGTGTGTGTACGTAGGTATGTACGCGCGTAAGAAGTTATACTTCTTTGGCTTAACAGAACAAAAATAGCTCAACATTTCATCCCGTATGTCACAAGTCTGTGTTTGTAAACGGAATGCAGCTAACTTCATCATGTCGCTTTCAGCTAACTTCATCATATAGCTTTTTTGCTTTCGGTGTGCGCGCGCATCGTAAAAATTTTGCTCTCATATTTTTTTCCTAACGTGCGAAAAGTAGTGTAACTTCAAAAATCTCACAGCAATCTGACTATTATTCGAATTGTGTATTTGTGCGTATGTTTGTTATTTCCCCACTTTGTTAACGGCTGGACGGATTTAGATGTTTGGTATACAGATAGACTAAGAGCTGGAGTAACACATAGGCTACTAGATTAGGCACCTAAGGACCAAGCTACCTAATTTAGTATTTTCATACATTTATCAAATTATTTAAAATAAAACAATCTTTTCGGATTTTTTCGTGGATTTCTATAGATTTTTGGTTCCCGACGTTTCCAATGCTTTACAGCAATCATGGTCACGGGAGAGGCTAAGATTTAAGATGTCTCAAAGGCATTATTATATAATTGTTACAGACACCCACCCACAAAATATCAAAATGAATCCAAAAAATTCAAAAATGGTATCTAAGTACCTAACAATATTAGTTAATTTTAATTTTGAACATTTTTATAATTTTAATAGGTTTTTGAAATTGAATATGGATTATTATTTAAAATATTTTGGTTACAAAATGTTAATGTGTGTTCTTTCTTATCAGTTCTGAGTTGTCTGTTATGTGAAAAAGGGTTCACCGTTTAGTATATATTTTTTATTGGGCGATATGAAGATTAAGGGTTTTTACACTAGCATATTTTTTTTCTATAAGCTACGAGTATATGTGAAAATGATGAATTACAATATTTTTTAGACTAAGTAGTCGCAAATAAGGTAGATAGAACGCTTGATTTTTTTTTCCAAATATCTTTTGACTTTTAATGTAGGTATTTCAGAATTATAAGTGTTACCATATAACTGGCCCTTAATTAATAAATTAAATGTGCAAACTAAAAAAAAAATTAAGTTTATTGAAATCATTATGACATTTAATTTACGTAGGTACATATATAAATTATAAAATTACCAAAGTGTTTTTCTTAATTATTTTATCTTCCAACTTTTCTAATTGAATTGAATAATTCAACAAAATAATATGTAAAACTTACCTTCATCAACTTCCAGCCTGTAATATATAGGTTTATCGATGCCCGCGTCGCCGTCTATCGCCTGCACTATGAAGTTCTGTGCGGTTTTCTCGTCGAACTGCTGCACCGCGAAGATATTGGTCCAACGCGGCGGCCGGTGCTCCACGTTGAGCACTCGCACCATCATCGTCACTGTATGGGTATTGGGCAGAGAATCCTGAAAATTGTACCTTAAAGCTGTAAACAATGTAGTTAGGATTAAAAGATTGTATGGGACACTACATGCGTTGACACATTGGCTCCGTCCCATGTCAGGGAGACGAGGTCTAAAATGGGAGCCGCGGTGAAAATGGCTAAACTGTTCAAATTGCGTAAATACGCCTCCCTTATGCAAAATTATGTCTTTATACCATTTGTTGTACAAACCCTTGGGCCATGGAGTCAAAGTGCTAAACACTTCTTAAAAGACATAGCACCTCGGCTTATCGCCTCTACTGGTGACAGGAGAGCTGGTTCGTTTTCCGTCCAAAGAATCGGCATTGCCATTCAGAAGGGAAATGCAGCTACCATTCTTGCTACTTTTCCATGATGATGACATTTTCATGTGTAAATTATTTCCAACATCACCACTTGTCTTACAGCGAAGGAAAACATCGTGAGGAAACCTTCACGTCAGAGAGAACCTAGCAAGTTTTCGAAAAACATACGGAGTCCGCCAACTCGCATTTGTCCAGCGGAGGGACTATGGCCTGATGCCCCTCGTATAGAAGGGAGGCCCATGTTCAGCAGTGGGACGTTAAAAAGGGCTGAATACAACTAATACAATACAAAAGAAATATTCAACTTACAAAAGCCGTAACTCTAAATACATGAAGCGCGTTTATCTCAAAGTCCAAGCTTCTATTTGTGCCCACGGTCATAGTCATGCGCCTCCATTCATTTGGTATATTCTGACCCAGCATGTAGAAAATTTGGCTGTCGTTGCGCTCGCTTTCTATTTCGAATCGCATAAATCTGGTGCTGATCTCCCCATCCTCGTCCGTCACTTCGTATACGCAATCGCTTAAATGAGCTTCCTTTAATTCCTGTAAAATTATAAATGACTAACTTTTACCCGCGACTCTGTTCGCGTACTTTATTTATCTCTAATTAGTTCTAAGGGTGTCGTGTTTTAAGTAATTAGTGTTGTTAGTATCTCTGCGATAAATGGACTATACAAAACGATAAAAATATATTATGTATCCTATTGTATTTTAGCGATAAGGCCGCCTCTTGTACATAGCTCTTTTTATATTTTTCTTGTACATTTTTTTTCTTTTGTGGGTGTAACTGTACAATAAGGAGTATTTATTATTATTATTATTCTTTTTGGAAATTATAACATTTTTAGTGTATCTTAATTAGTTGTAGGAAACTCTTTCATGAACCTCTCAATCGCAGAAAATTTAAAAAAAAAGTACAGCCAAATTGAAAACCTCTTTTTGAAGTCGGTTGAAAATTTTATTCTATAATAGTTAGACAAGTACTAACTTCCTTTAAGAATTAATAGCACTGTTCAAAATATTATTATTAAGTAGAAACACATTAGACGAACATATTTAGTCTTTAAAAATATACTGTCACTCTGTTCAAGTTTCTTGTTGATGGAAATGTTTGGAATTGAGATATATTGACTCATACGTGGGCTAGCTATAATGTTATGTTAATAAAATAAATAAAATGACACTCAATATTTAAAATGAACTTAAGTTCTTTAAATTAAAACTTCACTCGGTAAAACAAAGTCAAATTTATCCCACGGGAACTGTACATTTTTTCAATATAAAAAGTAACCTATATGCTATTTCAGACTATAATCTATCTCTGTGTCAAATTTCATCCAGATCCGTTCGGCCGTTCTTGCGTGATTGAGTAAGAAACAAACATCCATACATCCATCTAAGCTTTCACATTTGTAATATTAGTAAGATTATTTGACACAAAACGAGCCGTCGAATTTAACAACATTAGTAAAAATATAAAATTGAAGATTTTAGTAAAAAAGAGATTGAACTAACTGGTATAACGCAGGAGTCGGCAACATGTATAATGGGAGGGTTGTCATCAATGTTGACGATTTGCAAAGTTATACCGCCGGTCGTTTCATCCGGGATCTCTATACGCAGCATGTAAAGTTGCATGGATGGAGTTTCGTAGTCCTGTCTGACATATGATATAGATATTTTAAAAATGTAAAATGAAAATAGAATATAGAATGCTTCAAATTCTGAGGAACTTTTTTTGGAGAACCGCATTTTTTTCTGTGATGTAACTACAAATTTACGGTTTTCGAATTTTTCCCTTTATTTATGCTTTAGCACACATTGCTTCTTGTCACATTTTATGATACTACGTCACTGGGAAGATTTTGTTTATAAGCCCTATAGGTTTCAAATACCCCTGCAAATGTCAAAATATGCGGCATTAACGGCCGTATCTTTTGATTGTGTTAACTTAGAACATTTTTTCAGATCTTCAAGGGATTCCAGACCCGAGTAATAATTTCAACTTAACATCTCCACGACTTCTTGAGTAAAATGGTCTTGACAGACAGACAACGAAGTAAACCTATAAGAGTTCCGTTTTTTTTGAGGTACGGAACCCTAATATATTATGTACATCTAATGTCATCGCTATATGGGTGGACACTTAACACATTAGTACCATAACATAAAGAAATACCTAGGTACCTTTGAGTTATATACAAAATCCATTCGTTATTTTCCTTTCGCAACTCTGGGCCAAGCATATTAAATGAACCTGCCGTGAGCGGACGAACTATCGTCGGTGTGGCATCTCCTAAATTAAAAAATAAATATATTACTTATAATTGAAATGAAAACGTAAACGTATGGCATACACCATTAGGGCTAGTAGTGCCTTATGATAGAAACTGAAAAACATACAAACAAGATAAAATAAAAGTAAAACAGGAAATTGCTGTTTCAGGTGTAAAAATGTGGATTTAATATATAAAATTGTTAACATTAATGCTTTAACCATATAACCATATACTCGTATACTTAAAAAAATAAGTCTTAGAATTATTGTTTGTACCCATATAAAAAAATGAAATCACATTGTTATCTCTTACAGCATAAATAGGGAGGAAGTGCTGCGCCCCTTCACTATCTGTTTATAAATATAAAGTTTGACCGTCTCGGTGGTCTAGTATCTAGCATGTACTTTCGCGGAGATCCTGGTTTCGAGTCCCGGATCGGGCCAAGTTCATTTATTGAGTACCTATTTATGTCAAGAAATTCTCAGTAGGTCAGGTCGGAGTTGGGAAGTTGGCCTTTGTTTGTGGAAGTTGGTTTGATTCTTTGTGTGGTTCTGGTTGGTCCCGTCGGTCTTGCGCCTTAACTCTCACTGGTCGTGTCGAGTATCGTCTCCCCAGAGTATGAATGACAGAATAGAAAGTGCACGTTGTGTCTGTGCGTACACTTGTGCACTATAATATCTCCTGCGCAGTTGGCTAGTCTCAATGAGATTGGCCGCCCGGACCGTAAATCGATCGGAAGCATATTATTAGTATTATAAATATAAATAATAACAGCAACGTTAGCAGAGATTGTTCGTAGAAGATTTCAATTAATTATACAATGGATTTCCTGTATTTTTAGTCTTTTTTTTTTCTTAAATAAAACAAAAATGTGTAAATATTGACAATTTTAAAATAATAATATAAATTACCATCATAATTTAGTTTTGCTATGGCAACATCGCCCACGATCTCTTCGTCCATGTAAATAATTTGTGTACGGCTGGCTGCTACATAAATACTCATACACACGTCATCCCTTTCTGGTGCTGGAATAAAGGGTCTTTCATCCCAAGTTAAACCTGTAAATAAATGCATAAGCTCCTTAATATTGGTTGGTTGGGTATTTCAAATGAATCCACCCGCTACATGCATTTTGTAGGTATGTAGATTCTCATCGTCCAATCGAGGATGAAAAGACTCTGGGGGTTTATAACTATACTATAACTATACTCTTTGCTCTGGGGCCTTCAATCTATCAGTTATTTATTATTCATCGTAAAAACGATTTAGAAAAACATTCATAAAAAGTAAATACATTAATGTATTCAGCCTTTTTTAACGTCCCACTGCTGGGCATGGGCCTACCTTCGATACGAGGGGGATCAGGTCATAGTCCACCACGTGCCACTGGCCAAGTGCGGGTTGGCGGACTTCACATGTCTTTCGAAAACTTGCTTTTGGTTTTGTCAGAATTGCGCTTTCATCAAATCTCTGTTGTTCATTGTTATTTAGATAACAAGATCAAAACCCACGTTGTTTCGTTTAAAAAAGTCCTTGTGGTGTAAAAAGTGTGTGTAAGTTCGAATTTGTGTTTAGACAATTTTTACGAGCCTTACCTTCGTAATCTATTGGAGGCAAGTCTTCAGGCTTTGGTAACCTCGGAATACCAATCATATACGCGCATCGATCTAAACAGGAAATATTTAAATTAAACGTAAATACATATTTGAGAAAAAATGTAAGAACAAGTTACCTACATAAATATTTTGACCTAGAAGGGATATTCTTAAAATACAATCGAAACGAATATGTTTGGAGTATTTTATAAGACAAGTTTGTGTTGTAAATCTTATCTAAATCATTCTTGCTGATTGACAATCATTATTTACCAATATTAAAAAAAATTATTAAAAATAGGGATAATTGTGTGAATATTTGACCCTTAAACATATATTATATTTTTTAAGTAAAAAGATGTAAAGATGGAAGATATTACCTACTTGAGAAATATTAGATTTTATTGTTGTTCTAAGTTTTATTTTTAGAATTTTGCCATGTCACCTATTTAAGTGGTAATATTATTGTGAACGTTATTAATTACTTAGTAAATATACATATAAATATTATGATTGTTTATAAAATCATTTTAAAAGAACCGACTTCCAGGCACTAAAATGTAAAAAAAATACTAAACGGAGGCTTTCATTTAGAGTAGATACCTAATTAGATATTTTCGAAGTCGGTGCCAGCCGATGCAAAGCAAATCTAATATATTTCGATACGTAAAATACATATTTATCTATTAGATATTCATATCTTAAAATATTGTCGGCAGGCACCGACTTCGAAAATATGTGATTAGGTATTTATTCTAAATGAAAACCCCGTTTAGTTATTTTTCTACATTTTAGTGCCTGGAAGGCAGTTTTTTTTTAAGTTTTTATTTTTCCATTTTTAGTGTAGACATAATAAGCAGGTAATTTGTAAGAAGAAAGTTTTTTAATAACATATTCGATTAAATAATTTATTTAAGAAAATTGTTTATTATTCAAAAAACCGCTCGGCCGATTTCGATAAAATTTATATGGGTCCACCTGGGAAGTATACCCTTTGAAATAAAAAAAATCCAAATCGATTCAGACATCTTCGAGTAATCGGTGAACATACATTAAAAAAAAGATTCCGACGCATTAAGAACCTTCTCCTTTTTGGAAGCCGGTTAATAATCTTTTGAATATAAAAGCAAAACGACCACGTACCGTCACCAAATACACTTTGTAATCCAAAAAGCAAAAGGAACCCAACTGTTCCGATTTGCACACCCATCTTGCATGACGTACCTTTAATAAAAATGTATACTTGTTTTTATTAAGATAATTTCGAAGAAATTAATTGTGCGATAAGCGCTCATAAATGTAGGTACTATTAATATTACAAAGAAATCTATATTCTTGTTCGAATATTATAGATACTTTCAGCTTTCTGAAACACTGTAAGACTCTGTAGAGTGTAGACCTCTTTAGAAAGATGTACGCAGGATGACATTGAAACACGCAGATGCACTTTTGAAAAGCAAGTCTAAGAAGGAGATTGATCCAATGATATTAATGCATTGACCGTGAGAAGTATGTATACATATAACATAATATTATATATTATTTTAAAACAAAATGAACCAAAAAAACTTTAAGCTGTTTTAAATTAGGTACTTTCATGTTATTTTTTTCACACTAATAAAAAACAGTACAAGAATTGATAGAAATAAAAAGTTTATATTTATAATAGCAAAATTTAATAAAATAAATAAACTCAAAAAAAGTTCATAAATATACTAGTTATTCATATTTTATTATGAAAAATCAAAATCTTATTAAGGAAATGCTTTAATTAGTGAAGCGATACAAAAACATACGGAAGTTACTCTGCTTTAAAAACATCCTAAAATACATAGATACAGGGACAACACATTAAAACGAAACAATAAACTTGAATACCTTATAAAATAAGTCTCAATAACAAACACAAAAACTTCTGCGGAAATTCACAGTGCGTAACTTATAATTATTTCGCCACAACGCTGAAACAACTGAGGCATTTCTTTTCTGGTATGACCAGTTGATAAGATTATTAGTGATAATAACTCATTTTAATATTGATTACGATGAAACATAAATATAATCAATTACGTGTCTATACAATAATACACAAGGTTCCTCACAAGAATATTAATTAGGAAGGGCGTAAGAGCTATATATTTTGTTCAAATACAGACTTTACTTAACATTATTTGTAATTTTTTACTAAAGCAATTTCTTTAATAATAATATTAGTAGTAAGTACTGCTGTACTCGACTGATGTTAGTTTTATAAGTAATTTATATAATTGTATTCATAATTATATCATATACTCTATAATATTCATATCAATACGTGATAAATAAAAATTGAAGTATCTATTTGTGATGTCGAAATAAAAGCTTTTTACTAAATGTATATGAATTTTTATGCGGTACTTATAAGAAAAACACAATTTTTAAAATTTTTGTCTGTCTGCCGGTCTGTGCATCCTTCCGTCCATTCGTCCTCCGTTTATCTATCTGTCTGTCTCCTAAGTGGCTGGGCTGATTTTGATGGGATTTTTACTGGCAGATAGCTGATGTTATAAGGAGTAACTTAGGATTCTTTTATTTTAGAAAAAGAATTAGGGTTCCATTCAAAAAAATCACTATACATAGCTCTATTACTCATTATTATCTACCCCAGACACAATGTCATAAGATATGTAATTACGAGTTAAATATTTTATATTTAACAAAACCCGATATTGATTTTAGATCCAAATAGATTTAAGATCTTATCAGATACCGCAATATATTATTGGCACTTAATCGTGGCATTCTGATAACAAACTTCGGTTTACCCGTAGTGTTTATGACGACATGTTCTTATGCAGTAGATTTACCAACTGATTAAAAAGAAATGTAACAAAGTAACTATGAAACAAATCTTTCTCTTCATTGATTCATTCTGATGTTAGAAAATAATGGGCCGTTTTACAAAACAACTAAAATATTTAACTTACAAGTGTTTCTACTATCAGGTAGTGATTTAATTACCACAATAAAACACTTTGCGAAAATTGCATTATCTATGCATATACGTATAAATGTCTTATATTAAGTATAAAAACTTAATAGTAAACATTAGCGTTTTCCTTAATACATATAATATATTTAATTAATTTCGATCGAGTTCTACCCTTTTGAGAGACTCTACTTGTGGAATCCTTCATGTTATTAACAGTTTTCACCCTTAGTCTAGGAAATCGAAGTGCCTTTTAAAAACCTTCAACAACTTTTAATCTAAATGTCCAAATTATGTATCTTTGTTTATTGTACCAGAAACAATTATCTATCTTTGCCAGTGACGAGGAAGCTGTCTTATTTCTCTCCCAAAGCTTTATATTTGTTAGATTTCTTGGTTTTAGTTTATTTGGGCTTGATTTAGCTATAACTGTACCTACAATATATTTTTAGTAATTGTAATTATTATATGGATGCACTAGCGTTGACCGCGGCTCTGCTTGCGGTGCTGCTTTACATTTAAATTAGTAGCTCATATATCCCATCAAATAATCTTACTAATATTATAAATGTGCAAGTTGACAAGGATGTTTATATGTTTGTTACTCAATCACACCAGAATGGCTGAACGGATCTGATGAAATTTGACACAGATAGATTTTAGTTTGGAATAGCACATAGGTTCCTTTTTATTCCCGAAAATGTGCGATTGAATAGATTTGTTTTTGTTATTTACAGAGCAAGGGACGCACCTCTACCAACAAAATATAGGATACTAGCGGCTCAACCTCGCTTCGCTCGGGTTCATCTCTAGAAAAACAAAAACAAATCTATCCCTCGGGAACCGTATATTTTCCGAGATAAAAAGTAGCCTATGTTCCAGGCTATAATCTATCTCTGTGCCAAATTTCATTCAGATCCCTTCAGCCGTTCTGGCGTGAAAGAGTAACAAACATACATCCATAGGTACATACATTCTTACAAACTTTCGCGTTTTTAGTAGCATTCACACTCTTAATACGACCCTCAGAATTTCCATTAGGGTTCATAACTGACATCTACTATACTTGTATATAACCTACCGAATTTCATCTTCATTGGTTAAGGAGTGTTTGAGATTTCGTTTTTAATTAGTAAGTCAATGAGTTTTGAATATTATTTATATTGAATAATATAGATTTTTTACTGTCCACTTAGGATTAGGTACATACTTCTGTAATTATAATAAAAACTTTTTAACAAAAAAATAAAAACCGACTTCAAACAAAAGCACTAAAAAGTTAAAAATAACTGATTGGTAGTTTTCATTTACTATACATACCTAATCAAATATTTTCGAAGTCGGTGTGCTTTGCTTTGTATGGGCTGGCACCGATTTCGAAAATATTTAATTAGGTATGTATTTAATAGGTAGGCTTTAATTACTTAGCCAAAGCACACCGACTTCGAAAATATTTGATTAGGTATGTATAGTAAATGAAAACTACCAATCAGTTATTTTTAACTTTTTTAGTGCTTTTGTTTGAAGTCGGTTTTTATTTTTTTGTTAAAAAGTTTTTATTTTTCCCTTTTTAGTGTAGACAGTAGTAGCAAAGTAAGAATTCTAACGTGTTAGGCTTGTCAAATCAAACAAAATAAGCCCAAACTCAAAGTATCTACTATTAGCCGTTGAAGAGTTGCACCTATCCACCTTCTGGCCTTGCCATCAGATCAGGTCAACAACACCGAACCACTGTACTATCAACGGAAATAGAAATACTTGCAAAGTTTCAAGTCAATATGACAATTAGAAGTAGGTTAAATTCATCATTACTTGTTTTTCCACCCTTAGGGGTGGTATTTTTTTTTGAAATTTAAATGGGACCAATCTGGAAGTATACCCTTTCAAACAAAACAAAAATTGTCCAAATCGGTTAATAAATGACGGAGTTCTGAGGTAACAAACATAAAAAAAAAAAAAAAAAAAAACATACAGTCGAATTGAGAACCTCCTCCTTTTTGAAGTCGGTTGAAAAAGAGAAAGAAATGTTTGTCAGTAAAAGTTGTGTTTGTGTCGATAATTCACCCTTTACATATGAAAAGATTAGGTACTTTGGATAAAGTTATTCAGCACAACATGCTGTAATAAACAATACCTTATCTATCTGTTATCACTCAATTCTTTCACTCAGATGGACTTTGTGGATACTTTACTGTTTATGATTGTCATTAATAAAACTGACACAAGAGTATTGCGGACATAGATCACTGGTATATTTTCATAATAATTTCTCCAAACAGATTTCGGCCACGGCGGCCAATCTCATTGAGACTATCCAACTGCACAGGAGATATTATAGTGTACAAGTGTGCGCGCAGATTATTCCGTTGAGACCGTTGAGAGTTAAGGCGCAGGACCGACGGCTTTAGGTGCTCTCCGAGGCACGGGGGTGAAACACCGCCAACTTCCCAACTCCGAAACTATTGGAACGTTACGCTTAAATAACAAATCGATACATGTAACGTCATCTATAAACATTTATTTTTTTTATGTTTAAATATACATAATATAATAACTAAAAAATATTATTAAAAGGAGTCCCTTTAGGCAAGGTTCCGAAGATACTGGCAGCGTTCCCCCTTTGAATAGCTAGGCTAATTCTTTGTCCGAAGTAGCTGCCAGCTCTTCGGTCTCCTGTGATGTCGAATAACCTTTTTGCTATTTCCTTAAAAAGTCTTATAGCGCTAGGACCCCACGGACCAAGGGTCTCGACACCGAAAGGAACAAAATCATATTCAGAACCTAGATCCCTGTATTTGTATGCTCTGGTTTTTTCAGCCGCTTCACAAGCCGCACCAGCTCTGTTGTTGGTTCCATGTGGATGGGAAGGGGCGAGCGTGTCTGAGCAGGTTGCATCCCATACCAGCACCCGGCCCATCTTCCATGGAATTAAACTTATACCATCCGGTCTCTTGCCATCGTCTCTTGCAATACCAGTCGGCTCAAGTAGACTTGGCACGTTGATGGTGGCAAGGGACCGGCGTATGATATCGTTAAGCGCGGCATGTCTCGAGAAGCGGCCTGCACTTTTTTCGCATGACAGACCATGATGTCCTAGCTTGTCGACATCACTACCACAGGGACATTTATGAGGAGCGCAGACCGGAACCCCAAGCCGTAGACAGGTTGCGATTCGGAGCGTTTCAGGCTCAAGAAATGTATTTGACGAAGGGTACGCGTGAAGCCAGTAGCCAGCCTCATGC